ATTGGGGGGAGGGCGGGCAGCTGAAGGTGTCCAACTGTGTGTATTATCAAGATAAATGAACTGATTTCATGATGATGAGTGGGTTTCTTCATTGTGTAGCTAATGATGACAAGCGCAGAGACATTTTAGGAAAATATCTATACAAGTATTAAGAATATTGCGAATATCTCAAGACGAATTGGGAAATGTGTGTAACTGAGCTAAAATACGATCAAAGAACAGCAAACTGTGCAATATACAAAAGTACAAATAATTGCGACTTGTTCCAGAAATTTCTATTTACGATTTAGCTGTAGGAAACTTTATTCTTTGAGCTTTGTTTTTGTGTATTTCGTGTGAATGGACTTTAGAAAATTAGAGACCTGCTAATCATGCAGGGAAAATGATAGATCTGTAGTCCAAAATATACATTTTGAATATGGAAAGTGGCCTTAACTAACTTGGAAGATACTTGCAGATACTTTCTGTACAGCTAAGAATTTTCGTTAGCTTGTTCTCTTGACACCATTTTCTCTAATATTGTCAGCTGTGTTTATTCCAAGCTGAATTTTTTGTACCCATATAGTCCGTCAAAACGGATTAATACTAAACACTTTGGAAGGCTCTGGCTATCGGAAGAATATGTCAGTTAACTCAAATATTTCAAATATGTTGTCCTTCAGATCTACGAAGCTGTAGATATATAATTTAGCTAAAGATGTGCAGAAAAATGTTAAAATATATTTTATATTGCTGTCAATTCTTTAATTGAATTTAATAACTATGAAAAGAGCCTGAAAGTTCTTAAAAAACGAGAAAATAAGTACACAAAGGATTTTGGGAAACACAATTATTAGCCATAAAGAAAACTTCTTTGAGACCAGTCTCCCATAGTTGATAAGATTGAGCATATCAAGAAAACTGAGCGAGAAGAACGGACTTGTATATAGATCTAGATATAATATATCTAGAATATGTATCCTGATATGTATCCTGCTATACCCATTACAGGAGTATAAAAATGAATTCTATTAAGTATATATTTAACTGCTTTAAATTCTTAAAGCAGTTAAATATATTTGTACTCTGCATACTCTGCATAAAATCTTTGTGCTTCTCATAAAAAGCCGCCACAAAAAAAAAGATCGAAAAATGATTTATTAATTGGCAGCAGAAGCAAACACAAACAGCTGAAATGTGACAATAGGACTTGGAGAGATTATGCTCTAAAAAATATACATGCATAAAGATGTATCTGCAGCTATTTAATTGTGTATTTGTAAGCGTGTGTGTGTGTGTGCGTGTGTGTGTTGGCAATAAGACACAATCGTAGCCTACTTCATGTGTGCATTCCGTGTCCAGCTCCTGTGCGAGCATTGTCCTGGCTTGTAGCCCTACAATCATAACCTTCTGTATAGGAACTTTACCCCCGCCCCTACAGACAGCCCGTAGCAACAACAACAACAACAACAACAACAACAATAACAGCAGCAGCAGCAACAACAACAACCTGGACTCATAAGTATTTATGCAGATGTGCAACCATTTCGGAATTGTTTTTGGTTCTTTGGTTTATTTTTGGGCCAGGCGACACTCACACATATTAAATATGAATGTATCTGCCTATCAATGTGTGTGTGTGTGTGTGTGTGTGTGTGTGTGTGTATCTTTTGCTAGGTGTTTTGTGTATGAGGTTCGCAAACATTTTCGGGTCATATCACTTTGACAAACATGCGGATTATCCCTGGAATTATTAATTATTATAACTGCAAAGCACGAGGCTTGCTTCAGCTGTCTGCCCATGTGTGTGCGAGTGTGCGGGTGTGCGTGTGTGCGTGTGTGCGTGTGTGTTTGTGGTGCCACATGAAAAGGACAACTCGATGACTAATTAGCCAGCCGAGCGAGATTTGTAACTTTCGGAGACAACGAAAATTTCTATCGCTCTAGCAGCGTGTGGGCGCATCAATATACAAGATACGAGATACAAGATACATTTGTATCTTTTTTGGCAACCAGTTAAATTTAGAGATTTATTGGCCACTTTTATAGAACGTTTTTAATTAACGCAAAGAACTAAGCAATTTCTATCTCATGCTTTATTCAAATTTTCTTTCTATTTTTTATTTGCATTTTTCATTATTTCCAATTAAGTTTTCAAAATCGAATTTTTCAATAATCCTCAATAGTTATTCCTCAGAATATATCTCAAATGTTTATTTTTTCCAAAAGGCCAAAATTGAAGAGAAATGCATATTTTTCTTTTTGATATCTATTAATTGATTGAAATAACTCAGCTTGTATCTGTCAGAAAGTATTGTATCTTTAGAATATTTTTGATCCTGTCTAAATGTATATCTATAGTATAGTATCTGACCGATAAATTTGCATCTCTTAGATACTTTGCATAACTTGAAGATAGTATTGAAACATTGAAACGTTTATTGATTCAAACATGCCTAAGATACTTTTTTACTTCACGTATACATAAGTATCTCATATATACTTTCGTATCTTGTATCTGAATTACTCTGGCAACCTTTTAATGATGAAGTTCCTTACATTTATTCCTTTCAGAAACAATATGTTGCATATCCGTATGTTTTTCAGTTTTCAAGATAGTTTGTTTTGCATCTAACAGATAGATTTGTATATTTACTTTATTTTGGTTTTGTATAGATACTTTATTCAGATTCGAATGTGAACGGCAGATATTCTTATATCATTCACTTCTATAAACAAAATTGAGAAAAATAAGTAGCTTGCAACTAGCGGATACATTTAGACAGTTGAAATACTTTTGCATCTTTCAGATACATTTGTTAGTTTTATTTTTGGTTGTATCTTTTGTAAAATTTCTTGAGAAATTCTTGTAGTTTTCTGGTGCGGTTTCCAGCTTTTCGCGCTGCCACGCCCCGTGCCGCCTGGCCACTAATGCGCCTTTAATTTGCGGCCATGTTGCATGAAATGAGCTGCTAATGTGTTTCGGGTGCTCGCTGCCCCAAAAGGGCTCTACATGTGGCAACAACGGCAACAACAAACATTTCACTTGACGCGCCTAATGAGTTCAGGCAAGCCGCAAACCTCGGGCCCCAGCTTCAGCTGTGGGTGGGGGTGGCGGGGTCGGGGTCGGGGTCAGGGTATTATCTCTTGGCTGGGGTCGCGACTTTGACTAAGTTGCGGCAGGCGATTTGTTGTTGCTGCTGTCAACGGGCAACAATTTATTATGAATATTGAAAACAATTCCTGAAGCACCCCGCTGCAAGCCCCCCACCCCCCTCCGGCACCCTTTCAACACCTTATCCAAGTGCCGGTGGGAATAAAATTGCATTGAAAATAAACAGACGGCGGGCCTAGAAATTGTTGATAAACAAAATAAGCTGATGTGTGGGAGAGGGAGGGGGAGTGTACACTGTAGCTAAAGGTGAAAGTAAAACGTAAACAGCAAATGGAAAATACGTAAACAAATTGAGGAAAAACTTAGAAATGCGTTTGCAGCAACATTCAGTGCAGTTAGCAACATGTTGCTAGAGCTTAATGTTGCCATGAGAGCAGAACGGAGAGAGAGAGAGAGAGAGAGAGCGAGAGCGAGAGAGTGAGAGTGTGCTGCCAGAGAGCGTAGCTAACGTTCATTTTCGTAGTTCGAATTTCGAAATTGAGCTGCCGCTGTTGCCGGTCTCAAAATGTGGTCGTTGTTATTGTTGTTGGTGCTGTAATTTTACATGCTGCAAAACGGAAGAAGAAAAACAGCAAAACTGAACAAAAAATCAAGCGCTGGAAAAGCGCACTGCGAGACATTGACCTTGATCATCATCATCGTTGTTGTTGTTGCTGTTTGAGTTGTTGCTGCTGTTGATGTTGTTGTTGTTGTTGTTGGTGTTGTTGTATATTCGTCATTGGCTTTGGCTGCTGTCTGTTTTGCATTGGCCAAATGCCTTCTGGGGATTTGTTAGAAATGAATCAACGAAACAGCTGCGTATTATAACTGTAATATTCCTTACGTCCAGTGGGCGTCCATGTTTTTTTTTTGTTTTTATGTCTATCTATTTCGCAATTATCAGTCAATTGGAAATTTGAGACCGAACTTGAACAAAGTCTGTTAAATAAATTGTTTACTCAATTGCTTTTGTATTATTTTTATTTTTTTTTTACAAAATTGTCAATTTTAAAACAGCTTTTTTTGCAAAGAAGCCCGCGCGTTGTCGTAAGCTGATATTCAAGTACTACAAAAAACATATGTATGTATTTTTATGCAAACAAGAGTTTTGGACTTAAATTGCAAACTAACCAAAATAAAATAAGCTAAAAAGCATACATATATAAAAACAAAAAGCCCGCCAATGTTAGCGGCAGAGGACAGCAACAAACACATGCGACAAGCAGCGCTGGGATTCAACTGTTCAATTGCAAGCACTGCAAAGCCAAGTGAGAGAGCGAGAGAGCGTAGGTGTCGTTCATTTGCGTGCACAAAATGAACGCAAGCCAGGAAATGTTGCACAGCAACGAATGCGAAGCGAGCGTGTTTGAACATGCGAGCCCACCTCGTGCGCGTGTGTGTGTGTGTGTGTGTGCGCGCACAGCCAGGCAACATTCGGCTGTGTTGCTGCCGACCGACCGCTGCCGACTGTTGCTGCTGTTGCTGCTACTCGCCTCTCGCTTTGGATTTCAGTTTCAGTTTTTGACTCGCAGTCGCCGCCAAAGGACGTGTGCGCCTCGCGTGAAATTTTCAAAATCAAACGAATGAACGAATACGAAACTTTATCTCAAAACGCAAAAGACTGAACGTGAAAAATGTGAATGGAAATCGTGAAAAGTGTTCAAACAAATCAATGCAAAATCAACACAACCCAAGTGCAAGAAATTAAAGCGAATAACAAGCAGTGCTCACAAAAAATTTGATATCCAAATATTTTTCAATTCTGTGTCACAACAACCCAAAATTCAACTCAACAAAAAATAACACCAGCAAAACTTGCGATCACAACAGCAACAACAGCAGCAGCAGCAAAAGTTGATTTGCAGTCCTTTAAGCCTTTTTATTTTTCGGCGGACAGAAAAAAACAGCGGGTAAGTTCGCCGAGCAGCGCGTGGAATAAATGCTGAAAGGCTGCCAAAAAAAAAAAAAAACCAAATAAGTGGAGTCATCTTCAGAGTTAGAGTTAGAGTTGAAGCGGCAAAAAAAAAGCTAAAAACAGTGGGCGATAGAAAACTACGAACGGATGCGACTCTTGAGTGGGTCGATCCAAAAGCTTATCAGCAGCAACTGCAGCAGCAGCAGCAGCAGCAGCGGCAGCGGCAGCGGCAGCGGCTTAGCTGATGGACGCTAAAAGTGCTCTCTAACTGTAAAACAGTTGCAAGCTGCTTGCATATGTTTATCGATAGCGGACAGCAGCAGCTAAATAGAAGGCACTTTACCATGAGGATTAGCTAAGAAATATTTCGATTTTAATCGAGGATAATAAAGAGATTGGGCCTAGCACACAGTTAGGCGAGTTCAAGAAAGGGCAGTGAGATAAAATTCTTTGAAAACCGTTTACAAGCACTGGAAAATCAAGTGTTAATGTTTATGTGTGCATATAACGGAGTAGCTCGTCACAAAGTGCATGTCAAATGAATGAATCACATTATAAATTTATAAGAGTTGTATATGCATATGCCCATAAGTTTATAAATACTTCGGATTATAATGAAAGTAGAAGCAGGAAATGCGCTAACCGCTAAGTGAGATAGGAAAATCGGAAAATTCCTAGTAATGTGATCCGAGCTCTCTAAGCAATTTTCTAATTCCAACATTTGAATGTAACATTTTTGCTTGACAGCCAAACAAATGTTTTATAAAGTATGCAGATAGAAATGGAAATATCTAGATATTTGAACGATTCTCGAATTATATGATATTTATTGATGTAAATATACAACAGCATAGAGAAAAACACGTGAAATAAATTGGTGAAGCACTTTATCAAGTACTTGATAAATTTAGAACTACGAAAAGGCATGTGAAGTTCTTGCTTTAATTCTTCAGTTTCTCTTTAAAAACCCGCAAACTGAAAAGCAAACAAATCATTTTTGAACTGACGTAGAAGAAGAAGACAAATCCATTCTTGAGGCATAGAAAACAACAACAACAACAACAACAACAACAACAACAACAAGAAAAGTGCCGACAAAAGCTTTAATTATAACCAAATAGAAAAAGTGAACAACAAATGAAGAAGAAGCAATGCACACACAGCATAGCACTTGTGTCATCTATGAGGTTAAGCAACACACGCACACACACACACACGCACAACACACACACACCTTTGTTTAACTAGCCCAGCGAGCTGTGTCGTTTGCTGTCTAGGGTTGCGTTCGGGTCTGCCTGTGGCCTTTCGTCTGGCAAAGTGTCAACAGTTTTTGTTTTAAGTAAATTTGTTTAAATTATTAGCAAAAGGCAGGCGCAACAAGTGCTTGCCACATTTGGCGGCAGCTTCATTATTTTCTGTTATTTCTTGGCTACCCCGGTCTTGCCTTTGGTTAATCCTTTGGGTAAACAAGCCAAGGCACATAACTCATAAATTTGTGCCAAAACAAAATTTATGACGTCGCGGCAAGTGGGCAACGCGCAGCGAGCGAGTCTCGTGTGTATCTGCAAGATACACAGGCGCGTATCTGCCAGATACAAGCGCTAAATGAGCTGTTAAACGCGCCGCACAGCCGATAAATAATAACTCAATCTCAAAAGCCTACGCGAAAAGTAAATCAACCGAATGTTGCCGAGTGCAAAATCTCAGCTTATAAATTGTATCTTGCAGATACATTCGTATTGAATTTTGACCAAATTGTATATTAGTTGTGCACACGCACCGACTGCTACACATGTTTACCTTTTTATTTCGTTTTTGATTTTGTGGCAAAGGCTCACAGGATTTCCGTTTGCTGTTTGCTTTCAAATTTATTTGTTTGAGCTGCCTGCGCCTCTCACTCCCACCCTCTCTCCCTCTCTCTCTCTCTCTCAATCCCTACCCGACAAACGCTGCCTAATTAGTATGCCCAGCGCGTTTGTTGTTCAGCTGAAATATATTTTAAAGAGAAAAAGCAACTTGTGCGTAGTTGCGACATAAATTCGAGGCTGAAAAGAGTTGACAAAACTTGTGACTTGTGACTTGTAATGGCTTTATTAGAGTCAGCCGCGTGGGAATTGACGGCATGCTAATAATTGAATAGTTGACAACGTCAGAACCAATTGTGAATTATAGTCGAAAAAGCAGTTGAAACTGTGGAAGCAGCAGAAGCAACTGCAAGCTCGTTCAATTGTCTGTTGGCATATGCTAAGCGGCTTAGAAAAAACACGCGCTAAGCACCTTATGCAAATAGGCCCAAAGAACAGAAAATAAAGTAAGAAGAGAAGAGAAGAAAACTTAAAAGATGAAGTAAACCAAGTAAAAAATTATAAACAAAACGCACGCGAAATTTGTTACAGTCAATTTTGAAGCATGCGGAAAATGAAAATAGAAACAAATAAAAAAAAAACACAAAAGAAACGAAAGAAATCTGAAAACAAAATATTTGTTATGCGCTTGTAATTTTCTCGCAGCGCAGAAAGCGAAAGCCGTGAAAAAAGGCAGGACTTACACGACCGCCAAGTGCAAGGGAGAGGGGGAAGGGGAGGGGAAGCGGTGGTTCAGGGGAGATGCCGCCGTTTTTTCATGCTCAGCTGCCCGGCGGCGGCGGCGGCGGCCCGACAGAGGCGAGAGGCGAGAAGCGAGAAGCGAGAGCGCAAAGAAAACAAACTTTATCGCAGCCGTCGCAGGACATGCTTACTGTAATTCCCCCCGTCCGACCCCATCCCCTCACGCTCTCAAGCTCTTAATGCTGAGTGACATTGATGTGACATGCCCGTCAACTGCCTCTGCCTCTGCCGCTGCCGCTGCCGCTGCCTCTGCCGCTGCCGCTGCCTTGTCTGCTTCTTCCTGCTTGAACGAGGCGCGTTGCTTTATTTAAAAGTTTTGCGTAATGTGGCCGCAGCAGGGGCCAAAGGGAGCGGTTTGTTGCACGAGGGGCGTGACGCTGTTAGTTGCCCCTCTTTCCCTTCCCCCCCCGCCACCACAAACACCTCGACCGAGTGGACAAGCACAACAAATAATAAATGATATGTAAACTAAGGCACAAGTTGCTGTAGGTCTTTTTTTTTTTGCTGCCTCAACTTCTTCCCGTTTTTAACGTTTTTTTTTGGTTTTGGGCTAGAGCATAATTTAGCCTAGATTTCCTTCATCTTTTTTTTTTGGTAATTTGTAGCATGCTTTGGGGCGTACGCGAGTTCCTAATAAGTCTTAAGCAGAACTGCAGGGCGAAGCTTGAGAATAGATAAGTTTAAGCTTAAACTAATTTGAACTATTTTCTTGCTGGGATAAAACCGGAAAAGCAACTTACAAGCAGATCGTTTTTGCTGACACTTAGTTGAAGTAGTTTCTTAGGAATAGATACGTTTTTGCGACAAACAAATTTAAGTATTTGGCAAAAACTTTACTGAATGCAGCAAAATAAAAACTAAATTTAAAATGTTTTAAGCATGTGCAGGCAAATAAGAAATAAAAAACAATTGAAAACAAAGTTTTCCGAGACAACAAAAAGGCTGATTAAAATTATAATTATGCTATGCTTTAATTTTAGGAATGTAATAAATATATAGAAAGCATTAAAGCCAGCTGTCTATATTCCTCTTTTAGAATAAATTACTTTTTGAATGCCTTTAACAAAATAAATCTAAACACATAAAAGGTAAACATATTATGAAATATCCTTGTAAACATCTAGTTATTAAAAGATTGCAATTGCAAGAGTATTATCAGATATAAAAGATGTATGTAAATGTATAAAAAATGATTTGTTTTGTATGTATATTGATTATGTTTTGCAATGGGCCTTATCAAATTATGCCACGCTATATCTTCTTATATCTATAGTATCTTATGGAATATAGCGTAATGTACTATATCATAATTTGTATATATACACAGGATATATACTATGTACTACATCATCATCCTGTGCTCTCTGCCAACCTTGGCTGTCTGTCCCCCTACTTGGCAACGGGCTTGTCGATTCCCTTTAGCAATTGGCCAATATATTGCTATCGTTTACCAGCTCAGGCCTGTTACATTTGTTCCACATATTGGAAATTGTTATCCCGCTGTGGCCATAACACTTATCGTTTGCCCAGAGACCAAAGACTACTAACTATATTAAATGTCTCAATTTTCCGAATGCCGAATGCAGTTTGGGTTTTCTTCTCTTTTGCGAGACTACCTGAGCTGCATATCAGTTACATATATACGCGCGTGTGTGTGTGTGTGTGTGTGTAGGTCCAAAACGAATTAAAATTACACGTTCAGACGTCGCGACAGTGCGAAAGAGCTGGATAGATACGGAAAAGAGAGACAGAGAGAACTGTCGATCCTTGGAAAGAACATTTATCATTGTAGCTAATAAATGTGTTTCCCGTTCAGTTACCTGAGTTTTTGTTGCCGGTTTCTGTTTCGGCTTGTGACCCAAAACGTGGTCTGGCTTTCGAATAGCTACGATTGAGTCATTTAAATGCGTGGCAAAAAATAAAAAATAAAAGAAAAACGAAAACCAACTACATACAACCCCTGACAATTGTCCAGCTAATTTTGATATTGCCCCAGACAATTTCCAATCGAAATTCTCGCTGAGAACAATTCAATTATATTCCTAGACAGCTGTTGTTTCGTCGCTGTCATTTTTCTCCTTTCAAGTGGCCAATCGCCAGTTACATAAGGCATAAATCAGGCTTGGGTGAAAGTGCCTGAGAAAGTAAGTGGAGAGTAAGTGTATTTTGTAACTCGTTCTATGAAGCAGTACTTTAATTGGGTACGGGGCTGCCAGCTTTAATTGGTATGCTCTATCAATGAAAGGGGTTTCGACTCGTCCAATCCTCGCCCCTCGTCCCTCGTCCCTCGCCCTACTCAATCACACTCAATCTCTCAATCCGTGAGTGCCTGCCGCCTGGCGCTATCATAACAAGCTGCGCGTCGCAGCTGTCTTCAAGTGTGCTCCACAAATGTATTCCAAGCCCAACTTTAAGCCAATTATCTAATTGCTAGCATTTCACTTTGATTTTCTTTTATCAGAATGCCGCTGCCTACCGCCTACCTCGCACGATAATTACCCGACCGACTACTCACCTCGGCAGGACTTTGATTTCCATTTGCGCTTCCTTGGCGCGTCCATAACATTTCCGTTTTACGCTTCGACGGGCTGCCAGTGCGTCCCTGGAGAGCCTTCGGATGCGATGTCCCAGACTTAATCTCGAAACAAATCGATTGCGTTGTCTCGTCTGCTCCAGCTCAGCTTTCGTTTCCTCTGCTTGTCCCTGCCTTACCTTGTCTTGTCTTCTCTCTTCTGTTTTGGCCAAGTTGAAGTTTTTCAACACGATTTATTTCATTATTTTGCAGCTCTTGGGGATTGCAGCAGCGTTTTTAATGGGCCGCTTTCAAAAGCTAATCAGCAGACAGACTCAGTCTCAGTCGCAGTCGCAGTCTCTGTTTCCAGATGCCAGATGCGAGACAATTCAATCGATTTTCGAAAATCCAAAAGAAAAGACTATAAACTAAAGCTTTAAGTTGAGTTTTTGTATGGTGGAAATTCAATATTGCATTAGTGCTGCAGTATTTTGTATACCCTGTAAAGGAGGGAGTACACAAATATTGTGAGTCTATTTGTTTTCCCATACCTTTCTCTAAAACCCATTGAGCTCCTGGACTTTAGGAACTAGAGACATTAAAAGTTTTATTTAGGTTCTCATGAAGTATACTTAGCTCTATTTATTTTGTCTAATCGCAGTATATTTAATATAAATAGAGCTCATACTTTTTACAGGGTATTTGAGCAGTCATGCGTTTTGCGCAGTTGCCTGTTATATTATTTATGTTTTTTTTTTTTTTGTTATTTATAAGTTTGACTTCGTTTCAATTCCAATTTCAATTCCATTCAATTCAATTCAATTTTCTTTACAACATTTCATCTTTGACATGTTTTGTGTGTGTCTCTCTCCTCCTCTGGCGCGCTCTCTCTGTCGCACTGTCTGTCTGGCTGTCCGTCATTGTATTATTTCGAGTTCAAGTTGGAGTCTCTTTCTTCTGCCCCGTGCAACATTGTGTGTCAGATTCGCTTCGTCGTCTTCGTTTTTAATATCTTTTAATCTCCAATGTCAACAGCGGCTTACATTTGATTGCAAGACAACAGCAACAACAACAGCAGCAACAATTGTAGTTTTTTTCTGTGAGATCTTATCAGTTGACTTGGCCTGCCTCTCTCTCCTCTCTCTTTCTCTCTCTCCCTCTCTGCAGTCAGTGCCACACACTCTCTGACAACTGTCAGCTCACTGTGCAGCTAATTAAATGGCCCAACTGGCAACATATGTTGCCTTCGCTTGCCTCCTCGCTCTCTCTCTCTCTCTCTCTCTCTCTCTCTCTCTCTCCCTCTTTCTCATATCTTCCCTGCCTTGTCTTGGCCTTTCCCTGGTTACCCCACGCAGCAGCCACATAGACTCTTGAGCTCTTGAGTTTTCCCGGCTGTCAAGTAGCTGGCAGACAGCCGAGAGCTTAAGCCGCAACGTAATCCACATGGACTATGGCAAAGAGAGATGCGGCTTTGGCATTTTTGCATTGATGGAACCAATTTGAATGCGACTGTCAAGTTCAACGGCAAGCAGATGCTGGCAGTTATCGATAACTGGTAGGCAATCGATTGAGGTTCAAGGGAATCTGAAGCAGCTCAACTGTCAATTAACATATCATTAAAATCAGTGTATCTGCAAAGATAAATGTCGATAACAGAAAGATATCGATCACACTTCAAATGAGGCTGGTAAGAGAGGAGAATAACTAACTGTCGATCCGTCGATGAGGAAACTATCGATAAAACAGCAGCAGAATTCATAGGAACTCTTGAGACTTTAATAAATTCAGACAACGATAAATTTGTTAGCAAATAATAACAAAAGAAAAAGTTCAAATATCGATTAACATTTATAGCAAAAAATCTCGATAACTCTTCAAAAATATCCCATATATCGTTGACAAAATCAATCCACGAAACTTGATCTTTTGCTAACTAAATGAATAAATATTCCCATCATACCGTACGCAATTTCTCAATTATTTTGTCAGCATATGTGTGAAAAATAACAACAGAACCGCAGCCGAAAGGATAATAAAAATCATAAAAAAAAAAACCAAGAGAAAGGACTGACTGCAGAGGGGTTAAAACAATTGCCAATGAGTCGACAGATTTAGGTAGAGGAAAAAAGAAATATGACAAGGAAAATGTATATTTAGCTGAACAGTAATAAAATTGGAAGGGCTAAAAACAGGACACACACGCACAACAACAGCAAGAGGAGTAAAAAGCCAAAGCAAATAAAAATAAATACGTAAAAAATAGAAACGCATTAAACAAAATCAATAAAAATTAACAGCCAGAGCTGCCCCGTGGCTAGAAACTTGGGGTGGATTCTGTCGAGGACACGTTAGGATCGTTGCAATTGTTAGGCGTTAGGGGTGTGTGTATGCGCTAAGCCCCCTACCAAGTTCTAAAATATCCTGATAGTTGCAAAGTGGGGTTTATTCCTATAAACTCTTTGCATGTGCCAAAGGAAGTGTGACCAGGATCAGGCCAGTTATTATTAGCCCAAGCGAATGTTACGTGCCAAGCAGTACAGTTGCCAGATAATTGGAAGAGACAATTAAAAAAGAGGGAGCGTGAGAGAGGGAGAGAGAGAGAGTAAGTCCAGACAAAAGACAACCGCCATCTGTTGTCTGATGTCCTCTGCATGTCCTGACCACAAATTCATAATCCTCGTCTAACCTTAGAATTTTCTTTTTCCTCTTTGCAGCGCCGCCGCCGTTGACGGCTGTCCAGCGATGACAGCGATCAGGAAACGCATTTGACACGCAGTCCAAGATCTCTAATACACACACACACACACACACGCACAGTCACTCACACAACACACACAACACTCCACACACATTCAACTCACACAACCAAAATCAGAAACCAAAAAACAAGTTAGAAAACGCAAAACGCAAAAGTCGCAGCTTGCAACAAATGTGGAAAATGTTGGATACCATGATGGACGCCGATCTCTTCATGTTCGATTGCGATGAATGCGCCGGCATGCCGCTGGCGCCGCCGCCGCAGTTCCTTATGCCGCCGCCGCCGCGACCCCCGGCCCTCGCCGAGTACACGGTGGTGCCGCAGGACTGCAACGAGGAGCAACTGGCCCAACAGCAATGGGAGAGCGATGTCTGCCAGGCCATGCCGGTGAGTATTGTGTGTAGTTTACCATGCGACCAGGGTTGCAACCCTCGCGCGCCTAATGAGCTTGGCCTGCATAGGGTGCACAGCTGTTGAGATTTTCTTCAGCAATCTGAAGGTGTCAGAATTGTATGTTGCCTTATTGAATTATTGCATTATGCATACGCGCAACAACAATAGTAATAATAATAATAATGCTCCCTTTCTTCTTGTAATTGGGGTGTTGGTTCTGTCGAGGGGGTTGGGCCAGTGGGCGGGTCGGGGATTTGTGGCACAAGTGCTAAAAGTTGAGTGTTTGACACTTGAGCTGATTGTTGTGCATTGTCTGGTTGCCTCGATTTATGACATCTGATCAAAAATCTGTTCCAAAAAGGTTAAAAGTGTTAAACAGAAATTAACATTACCAGTGGACATGTTAATGAGAGCGCAGCACAACTGTTATGCTAAAATTCTGTAATTAAATGTGGCACAGTTTCTGCTCTTACAGTCGATTGTGATGAGAGTAAAATGGCGCGCAAACAGTTTATTGTCGAACTAGCTTTGTTCGTAAGTTAACTACTTAACATAACTGTAAAACTTAACATAAAATGTTTAAGTGTTAGCACAAGCTGTTAACTAACTCTGTAAACATTAAAGGCCATGGAACTCTTTAAAGCCATTCAAATTTCCAGCCCACTTAAAACCAAAGACAGACAGAAACAAGGTGACGCCCACTTTTCCAGTTACATTTTCCGGTTTTTATTTGTTGTTTGGGCTCGCAGACAACCACAAGGCAACACTTTAAAGCTCTTTGCTTCTTGAAGTCCTGGCAGCAGCTGTTGCTGTTGCCAAAAAAAAAATCTATACATATATATATACAAAAAAACGTCATCATTATGAGGCTGGCCAAGCCAACCCAACCCAATCCCCTTGCCCTGGCTACACGGCCTGCTGGCCGGGAAACAGCAACAAATTACAATAACAATGAAAAGTTAAGCGTCAGGGCACAAAAAGGACAACCCAAGTAGTTGGCAACAACAACAACAGCGGGCTATGAGTAATGCTCAGGGGCGGGGTTGGCGGGCCAGGGGGTTGTAACGTGGCAACATATGGCCATGCAAGGCGTAACGAATTCAAACTTCGCCCCAACCACAAAGCCAACTTGAAGATTGTCAGCGGTTACACGAAAATGTTACAAATTATTTTATTAAAAAAGTAAATAAAAAATGTTGAACAAAAAAAAAAAAGAAGAGAAATGAGAAAGGACATGGAGAATATTAACCAAGTGTAACCCGGCACTTGGTCTAATCGCTGGCCTGTTTGTTTAGGCAACAGGCGGAAAAACAAGACGAAAATTTCAAAAAACAAACCAAAACAGAAGATCAAATTCCACATCAACACATCAGCCGAGGGCGGACACATCGATAAGCACACGAGACTCACGTGCCCAGAGATAAGTCTGTGTGTGTGCGCTTGTCTCTCTTCATATTTTCCATGCATATATGTGCGTGTGTATATTTCATTTTGGGGCAGCCCCAACACGTCGGAAAACTCAAGTGCTTTCCACTTAATTTTGGACATTTATGTAACAGACAAAAATTTCAATAAATAAAAAACCAAAGCCAAAAGCAAAAGCAAACTCAAATGTGTGTGGTCTTCCGAGCGCCAGATAACGAAATATGATGATCCGGATTTAGTGTGTGTGTGTGGGCACTTGAGACTGTCTCCCTCTCTCTCTCTCTCTCTCTATATCTCTCTATCTCTCCCATTCTCGCTTTTTGAACTTGACAGCGGATAGCTGCTGTTTTATGCTGACAAATCAAATGTTAACATGAACTTAATGTCAGCTTTAACTTACGACCCACTTTCCGTATATCGATAACCGCGTCTATCGTTTATCGAAATGCAATTTTATGCTTACACTAACTGGCATTCAGGTAAAATACTTTGGAAATCTCTGCGGAGCAGCTTAAATTCAATTGCCATCAGCATCAATTTAATGGATTAGCGTTAAAAAATGCCAACCTCAACGCAACGGTGAAAGGGGAGGGGCTGGGGGGCAGGTGGGCGCTACAGGTCGCAAGTCTCAGCGTCTACGTCGTGTGTGTGTGTGTGTGTGTGTGTGTGTGTACGAAATTCTCTCTCATCAAATTGATAAGTTTAACGGGAATTGTGCCAATTTGGCAGAGTGTGTGTGTGCGGGTGTATGTGTGTGTACGTGTACGTGTGTGTGGGCGTAATTGTCAACTGGCAAAGGCAAAGAAGAAGAAATCAGCAGACGATTAAGTGAGGCGTGCTAGACCTTGAGGTTACCCTGTATGTCAAATATTAACAAGCTAAAAGAGCGGAAACATTAAGTCGTTGAGCATTTTGTACATTGTGGGAAATGATTGAGTATACTAGACTATTGGTTACCCTATAAAGAATAAACTTAGAAATCACATTATAGATTTAGATAGAGAGATAGAGAAATTATTTGCAGCATTTAAAATTCTTGTGCGTCGCCCTATATACCCCACTTACCCCACTACAGGGTATACCAAAATCTTTAAAGTGCCAACAATACGCAAAGGATCCGATTGAGCTTTAGAGCCAAGCAGGAGCAGACCGTGGCCGGGATGGGAATACGAGGACGACGCGTCAAACATGCGAAATTAAATTTGGTGCGCGACGCAAGCATCAAAAAAAAAAAAAAAAAAAAAAAACCAACAACAATTTGACAAGCAGCAGCAAAAGAAATAAGAAGAAGCAGAAGCTGGAAAAGCAAAAGCAGCTCGCACTGATTGGAGTTGGGCGTGGCAGCAAAATAATCCTTTCTGATTTTCTTTTTGCTGCCTCCGTATGTTTTTTTCTCTTGGCTTCAGCCGAAATATTTCAACTTTGCCGAAAAATCGCTTTAAATAAGCAAACACTGAAGGGGCTTAACGGGGGGTGGGCCAAAGGGGGTGCAAATGTCTTGACATTGATATCAAATGTCGTGCGAATGCCATACAAAATAGTCGCACATTCCATTGTCTACAAAATGTTGCATAGTTTTGTAGTCTGCTTTTTGGGCGCGCGAGGATGATGATGGTAAAAGATGAGCGGAGGGGTGGGCGAGGGGATGGGGAAGAATCAAGGGTGTGGCCTAAGGTTGTTTACAGTTGACACATAGCAGACACAGCTGCAGACAGGCACAACAAAACGAAATGAAAAATCGTCTGGCAGTTTTTCCTTGACAATAACAAAAATGAATTTATATATGCATTCAAAATCTAAAGACAATAATATTCGTTTATACAGATGAGCTTTGCGGCAGCTCAACTACAATCTACAATAAGCTCGAGGATTAAATAATATTTCTCGGATTCGAAGATTCGTTTTCGTGCATTCTGCTTTGAGTGCTATTCGCAAACGTTGCGTCTTACGATATTCACTCTCCGGTTGTTTTTCTTGCGCCAGCGTTTAGTTGTTTGCATTTCGCTTTAAGCGTTGTCCTTAAATGTTGCACTAGCTGTACTACGACTTTGCTACTCTGAAGTTGAGGTGTCTGTTAGTTGAATTTTCTCAACTCATTGCATGCAACTTTCAGCAGTCTGTAGCTTTCCCGTAGCTAAACAAGGGCACAGAAGGAAAGTGTGAGAATGAGCAAAATGAAAGTGGGGAGCAGACTTTTACAGATAGATGGAACAACTCGAATGCATCTCAATCACGAGTTGTTTCCAAACAATTGCACTGTCAAGTGGTTACAAAACTGCGCCAACTTGCCAACATAAACACACACACACACACACACACACACACACATACTCCATACACTCTTGGCGCATTAGAGGGGGCTGTGGTGGGAGAGAGGGGGATATTGTAGGGGCCGTAAAAGAACTGTCGATATGCACGTGCAATGAAATCGAAGTTAGCTGCCGCCTGCGCCAGTGTTGAAAAAGGCGTTATACACGCAACGCATGTAGAAAACTTTTGCCATGTTATCAGTGTAGCAAGTTGTTGTTGCTGCTGCTGTTGCTGCTTTTCTCGCTGAGCCTGGAAGTGGCACGTGCTTGCTGCAAGCCTCCTGCCTCCATGCAACACTTGCGATTGTTTCTGAGTACGGACGAAACGGGCAGAGTTGAAAAGTTTTGTGTTTTTCATCAGGACAATGAAAACGCGTGCGTCAACTTTGTGCACAAAGTTGTTGGCTTAAAGGTTGTAGCAGGAGGCGGCTGGAGGCTGGGAGGGGAAGGCAGGTGTAGGCACACACAACAATCCAATGAGCTGCACAAACTGGCAATACCTGGCTACTCTGGCGCCACGTTGAAATTGTGTCAAAATTTCACTCAGATTTGTTCTTCTTGAAACAAAAACTTCGCAGCCCTGTCAACCCTTAAGCAGCAAAGTAGCTAAACAGAACAGCCTTTAATGCTGTTAACTTTCAGCCATAATTCCTGATGAGCACATTTTTTGTTTCATTTTAGGCCTAATGTCTTGTGGCTTAATTATTTTATCGCACAAGAGCGTCCCGTTTTGTTTTCCTATTTACTTTCTGGCTATTTGCCTACACATAAATCGTTCAAAATGTTATCGTTATCTGGTGGCCAGTGTTTACCCACGGCTCTTGTTATTAATTTACGACTGCGGCTACCTATGGCTGCCCGACTTGACTCCACTCGAGCGGACCCGACTTGACTCGACTCGATGGAAAGCCTTCAATCATGCGGTCCGCTCACAGCTCCTACTGGAAAATGCGCTTATCTGGGCAAACAGAAGGTGCGCTGCGACGGGCTGCCTGTTATCGATAAGACGAACAACTCTTTTTACAGTGTGGGGGCAAGTTGATTCTATTTGAGTTTTTATCTGACTCGCGAGCAGTTGGGCTTAATCCCTATTTGCAGCTGACGAGCGGCAATTGTAAGCCGGCGGCAGTCGAACTGTCGCAATGTGTGCCTTTTACATCAGACCCCTTCCCAGCTGCCCCCCTCACGCTGTCAGCTACTCATGGAGCCCCTTTGCTTGCCCCGGAACGAGCATTACAAATAGGTAAAACGCACTCACATCAGGCCCCGCGCCTATTCACATTGATTTATCGATTATCAACGCACACACGCGAACCGCCTGCGGTTGGAAAAGCGAGTAAAATAGGCAAAGAATATACAACAAATACCAGACAAAAGAAATTTCATTATTTTCTTGTTTCCCTTTTACTTTTACAAAATCGAATGTCGTAAGTGAGATTTTAAGATTTCAGGCTGGCCCAACCCAGCCATGTACAGCAGCGCAGTGTAGGGGAGTAGGTGGTCGAGCATATGGGCAGAATATAGTATGGAAAGGGACATAACATTTATATGCATATGGGCTATATATAACAAAAGAAAAAAAAAAAACTCCTCGGTAACTGAAAATCCTCCTCGGTAACTCAATTGACAAGTCGACTTAAGTTCAAGTGTTGGTGTAGCGCACTCAACAGGTCACCAACGACTCGCAGTTTCCGCAACTTGTTGTTCAACTCTCCTCTCATGCCATGCCTCGACACTTCACAACACTGTGCCAAGCCGCAGCTCATTAATCAATTTGATTACGCGCAATGAGCTTTGAGAGTTTTTTTCATTTCTTTCATTGTTTTTTCTTCTTGCGGTAACTTTTGACTCTCTCCCCTCTCACTTGACACACACTTGCTCTCTCTTTGCCCTGCAGCTCGCATAATTGTTTAATTTATTGTTATTTATTTGTTTGGCTCAGTTTCGGATTTGTCTGTAAATGATTTCCAAAACAATTTACGACAAGAAATGAAAACAAATTTCTTTAAAATTTGATGATAACGCGTACAGCTTGTGACGGGTGGAAGGGCAAGGGGAAGGGGAGGGGCGGTGTTAGCTGCTACCCGTTTTGCCCCCAACTTCGGTAGTTTAAACAATTTCGCCATACGGCAATGCCTGTCAATATTTTTATAGCTTATCTCGCATTGAGAATGAAATTGGGAGCGGGTTTTCAGTCTTTGTAATTGTTTGTTTTGTATGCGCTCAGCTGTGGCATATTTAATGATTAATTGCCAAAGCGATGTGAGCGATGCAGTGGGCGGGGGGAGGGGCACTGGAAGCCAGATAGACCCTGCTCGCTTCCGGGCACAATGGAAACTGTGTCAGCGCAAATAAATCAACGGGCAACTATTTATTAATAAATTAGTGTATGCACAAAAATGCAATTACATATTAAAGAGCGGCCTACATACGCGCATCCACACACACACACACGCACACACACACACGCACACACGCATGCAGTTGTGCACACACTGGCTGACTGGCAGAGGCGAAATTATTTGCACAGCTGTCAAAGCTTGACCTCAATTTGAGCGCAGCTTTTGTTTGCCCTCCCCCTGCCCTCTCCTCTCCTCTCTCTGTCTCTGTCTGTCCTCTCTCGCTCACGCTCTTTGAGCTCACCAAAATATTTTTCCAATGCATTTGACTGATTTATGCGGCGCGTGTGTGCGTGTGTGTGTGTGTATGTTTACCTTTGTGTTTGTATTTGTGCTGGGGCCAATGACAGGTGCTTGTGATTTTCATTGTTTTTCAAAAAACTTTTTTGACCAACAAAAAAAAAAAAAGGAAGAAGAATATTCAATTATAGAAAACAAAAGTTTGTTGCGATAAAAATGACAATTTATCTTTGACAGCGCAAGCTTGATAAGTTGGAAAGAAAGTTGTGAAAGAATCCAAATTGAATTTAATTCACTTTTTACAGTGGAGCCTTGCTCTGCCACATCTTTATTGTAGCTACTGTATCCTGCGTAGGCAATTTTCACCATGTTTTGACCTTAATTTCGTTGATTGCTAGCCCCATCTCACTCCCACTCACGCCCAGTTGTAGCCAACTTCAATAATTCAGAGCGAATCAAAAAAAGGTTAACAGCCGCGTGCGCTTTTGTTTGCTATTCGTTAGGCATATTTACCAAAATGTTGTAGCTGCTTCCTCTTCTTTCTATTGGCATGCAAAATGGCTTTGTGTTTGAGTTGTGTCGTGATTTGCATTGGCTAAGGCAATTTTTGTACTCTTTTACTTTTGCTTTTACTTCCCGCTCACTGCCAAGTAATTTCAACTAACGCTCTTTTCTTTTTGCCTCTCTTGCAGATATTGGACGCCAGCTTGTACAGCAGCCAATCACTGGCCACCTCAGCGATGATAGCGGTTTTCTCACTGCTGCTGGTGCTCATTGTGCTCATCTCTTCGCTGTTTGTCTGGAAGTAAGTACAAAGAGAATAAGAATAACAGAAGCAACGTAGATATTTGTTGAGCGTGCATTGCTCATTCTTTGACTAATTAAGTGCAGCTTGCTTTGCTTCCTCTTTCTGTTCTGCATTCTCTGGGCTGAGATATAAGTGCGGGAGTGTGTCTATGGCTAAACTATGCTGCTACCATTTGTGGCCTGTGGCGCAAGATAACTCGAAGGCAGAACTACACTCACACTCACACACACTCACTCACACACACGCCTTGTGTGGCTGCGTGTCTGGTTTTGTCTTGGCTTTGATCGCGGTTTTGAGCGCCTTCTGGGCAACTTATACCGCAGAGGGCGTTGCAACATGTTGCATGTGGCATGCTGACGCTTCGCTCTCTATACTCTTTAATATATATGAAAGCCAACCAAGAGGTAAGGCGTCACTGAGCCAACGATGGGACCACACAGCGTCGACTGCATTAATTTTCTATAAATAAGTGTTGCACAGTAGCAACAAGAATAAAAAAAATGCATAAGCCATAAAAGTGTTGGGCAGCCAGCAATTTAGCGCCACATGAAAAATGCAAGCAATGCGCCAAATGTGCAGCCAAATAAACAATATAAACTATGCAGCTGTACGTACACATACATACATTTATAACAGTAAAAACCCATTTGCTAAAGTCACAAAAACAAACAACTAAACCCAGCAACAACAAAAGCACGTCAAACGCAATGGCGACCAAACGAGAATTAATGTAGTCTACTTTCCAACACTGACCTACATGTGTGTGGGTGCGTGCCCACTCTAGAAACCAAAACTAAATTAAATTGAAATTTTAAATACACAAGGCAAAAAAAAAAACACGAGTAATGGTCGCCATACGCCCACACATACACACAGTTACATCAACTTTTTGGGAGAGCTCAGAGAAAAAATAAAACAATTTGACCAACAAAAAGCTGCAAAAAAAAAAAAACAAATGAAATCTGCAGCCAAATAACCGCAGCTAAAGCAAACTAAGAGAGATAGAGAAAGGGAGATAGAGGAAAGCAGGAAAAAAAAACAACTTGGCGCACGTAACGGTGCTTGGCTTTAATTTACATATGCATGTAGTGCATATGTGTGGGAGAGCAGAGCCAAAGACTTTTGCACGCACAGCATAGAGTGCCCTTGTGTGGCTTAAGAGCGGAGAGGGGACAGGCACAGAGTAGCGTTAGTAGCCGCTCAACTCTTTGCATGCTTTAACAAAAAGTTCGCCTGCGGTCGGTCTCTGTGTGTGCATGTGTGTGAGTGTGTAAGTGCATGCACGTAAGAGAGTGTGAACAGCGTGTGTTTGTACGTTTTAATGGTTTAACCAAATTTGGGTGTTTTTTTTTTTTCATTTAGCTTTGCGCATATGAATTATATCCAAACATTTATTTGATTTCATGAGCTTGCGAACTTTATGGCGGGACTAAGAGCTTTAGAGTGTGTAGGAAATGAATCCCAAGAGAAATAGGCTGAAACATCTTTGTGCGCTCCTAAAAATTCAATTTCCTTTAAGGTTGCCCCACGTTATGTGCAACAAAACACACATCGGCTTTGCTGCTGCTCTCAAAGCTTTGCTCTTTTACTCAACGCAAGTTGGCCGTGCTGCTTCTTCTCGCCAGCATCAACAAGTGTTGAAGTAACATGTTAGAAAGGAACAGCAACAACAACAACAACATTCCATTTGGCTGTAACGCCTAAAAGTGGGCTATATTCATGGCACTGAAATTAAGCAGGGTGCGCTGCAGAGTCGGGCGGCGGGGTGGGCGGACGCCTGCTGAGCAGTTGCCACAAGCGCTTTTCATACATATTCATTAAAGTTTGCTGACCGCACGAACACACAGGCCGGATAAAGAGGCGGTCGAGAAGAGAGCGGCAGCGGAGGTAAGGGGGTGTGGCAAGGCAAACAGAGCAAACCAAACACACGCAAATGTTGTTGTTGCTGTTGTGCTTCATCATTTTTGAGGTTATGGCCATGACCAGGACACGCACAAGCTCACACACACACACACACACACACACATAGAAGAAACAGACGAGCATCTTTATTATACGCACACACACACACACACACACACACACAGACGCTCACAGCATTGCAAAAGCTGCTGCTTTAAGTGTTGCCCCAAAAACTTGCCCCATTTGCTATCTGCATGTGCGTGTTGCTCATCGCGTGTGTGAGTGTGTGTGTGTGTGTGTGTGTGTGTGAATGACTATGAATGTCCAACGGAAAAAAGCAGGCAAAAAAGTAGATCTACAACAATAACAATAATAACAACAACAACAACAACAACTTGAGTCTAGCGCCATTTTTGTGGCATTTATGATGTGGCACATTACTTTTGCCTTTATGGGCGCCAACAACAAATAAATATGAATATGAATGTGAATACATATACATTTATGCATATGTATATTTGTGTGTGTGTGTGTGCGTTTGGGTTATCGCGTTGCGTGTGCCGACAACAAAGCGACATAGAAAACCTATAAATAAAATAGCAACTAATTTTATTTATTTTATTTTTTTTCTCTTTTGGTTTTCGTCTCATATAATAGAAATAAAATAATCGTAATGTCAACACATAAAAGCCGAAAGTTGTTCTTGTTTTTGCATTGTTGTTTGGGGGCGTGAAAAAACAAACGATATCAGATACAGTAGGAGTTGGAGTGGCAATAGACAGTTGCTTAAAGCCAAGCTAATTTAATTTGCTTTTTGGTTAACGCCAATAAAAGTGTGTTAGAAAAGCAGCTAAAGTAGCAGCATTCGATAGACCATAGCTAGTACTATCGATAAGTGTTATAATAATTAGTGTTGTAAAACGAGAAGCAGTAAGGAATTCCATCATTATTTAAAGTGCCTTCTGACGCATTTTTGTATGCCCTTGCGAATGATATTATATCCTTAAATATGTTCAAAAATCTGTTAAAACTCGACCACTCTATCACATTTATAAGTAGCTGCCATGGGAAGGGAACTTTTCTGTGCCGACAGTCATAATTCAGCTTAAGCCAGTAAATTCCCTCCGATTCGTCCACTTGTATGCGCCTGTCAAGAAGCCCACCTTTATTTTGTAGCATATTACATTTTAGATTTGATTTGGTAGCTGCCAACTTTTAATTTACATACTCTTCAGGGATTTCCTAATTGTTTTTCCACTCTCGAAAAATCCTTCATAATTACAACACTTTCCATTCACACATACGTCGCATTTTCACACACAGTTTTTTTTTTTTTAAATCGAAATACCGAACCATTTAGTAATTTTTTTTTTTCGTTAAAATCATAAATGGAATTTATTATGAGTCCATGGAGTCGCCTGTGCATAATTACCTTAATTATTTTAATAAACCGCCAGAGTGTGTTGAAACCTCACACTACCAACCTCCCTTCCCGTTGCCGGCTCACACGGCAACTGACCAACTTTTTGCAAATGTTTGCACATTGAACTTTATTAATTGCATAAAATGTGAGCGATGCCACCAAAAAGTATGCAACATGTGCTGCAATTGGGTGAAGGAAGAGAGAGGGCGGGAGTAGAATTGTTGGCAAGAGTTGAAAAAATCTGAATTGCTTGTCGTGCAAACTGTTAACGTTGTCGCCAGTTAATAATATCTCAATAAATAAGCTCAATTTTATGCAAATAATTACAAATGAACAGCAGTTGAAGTTAAAATGTTTTCGCTGCAATTTCGACAAGTTTTTTTTGTTGCGTGTGATTTTTAAAAATTTAATTTTGTTGTTTTTTCCTGCACCCCCAACCGAAGCATGTTAAAGTCAAGTGAGATGCCACTTGCTCGCGCGCTCATGCATATTAAATAGATACGGGCGCTGGCAACCCTGGCAACAGGCCCCCCAAAAAGTTATGGCCCATGGGCTGCTGCGGTATCTACGTGCGTGTGTGTGTGCGTGTCTTGCCATTAATGTTGACTGCTAAATAAATAAAATCAATTTCGCCTGCTTGCAATTTTCCTTGCCTGCCGCGTCCCTTTTCGTCCCTTGTCGCTCACAACGAAAGTATGACAACCCTGTCACGCAGTGTGCAATAACGAATCACAATTTGCGCTACTTTCGAGCCGCATCTACTTTTATTTTCGCTTTATGGCCATGCTACAAAATTGTCTACATATTGCCTCTCGTTGGCCAGGGTTGCCCTGGCAATTTTTAATCAAGTGCAGACCCTAAAGAAAACACGTTTAAACAGGCAGGCAGGGGTTGTCATGCTATCAATTTCATTATTATTAGTATATATCTTATTTTTGATGAAATTGCGTTGAATCTGGAGAATTTCGAATACGCTTGCACCAACTTTTAATTACTTTTGCCAGTGTTGCCACATGTTTGTTTACTTTTAGGCATAAATCACAATCAACATTTAGTTAGGCATTTAGTTAAAATTGCAAAAAATTAAGAAATTCTCACATATATATTGAATTCGGCATTTAGCCCAGCTTTAATGTTTTTTTTTTCACGTCAATATTGAAAATGGAAAATTGCGAAAACGAGTTGAATTTGAAATTGGGAACGTGTTTTTTTCTCAGGTCTCGCCTACAGTGCCTTGACTTGTTGCTGCGGCTTTCCGCTATGCACTCTAATAAAGCCTTTTCCTTCCCCTGCCCCCGCACCCTCTCACACACCCATGCAGTTCGATGTCCACTGTTGCATGTTGGCCGCAAATGTGCAAACCACATTTGCGGCTTAGCGTGTGGCAGCTGCAGTTGATGCAAGGATCAAAGCGCGAACATACCACAAACGACTTAACAGTCATTCACATATATGCATATATATCTACAGATACATACATGTGTATAGTAATAGATACAGACAATTAGATTTCATGGCAGCCGCAACAATCCCCACTCAGCCCATTTGCATATCAAAGTCAAAGATATTGTCTTTTGGTCTTTTTTGTTGTTGTTGTTGTTGTTGTTGCTTTCCTCGCACTACATTTGCTGCTGCTTCACGTGCCACCCTCAAGACGGAGTGTAGTTCATAAATAAAAGATACGCTTGCATATTATAAGAATTGGGCATCGTAAACCCGCCTGCCCTCTCCCCCTTCTGTGTTACTCCTATGCAACCCCTTCGAAAGCAGACTCCATCTTAGTTCCGCCCTCACGTACAATCGCATTGTTGCCTCTGCTACATTTTATTGTAAATTGCTTATGCCATGAGGCAACCCTTGATGCTTGCCCCAAAGGTATGCCGCATGGGGCAGCTGCTTACGGGATACCCCCACACCCTTTTGTATTATATATATATATATATATATATATATATATATTGAGCTTTAGTTTCTTTGGACTCTTCTTGTACGCGCTGGCCAAATTGTACGACACTCCTGGGACGCTGCGTTCATTGCAATAGCTTTGGCCATAATGCTGAGAGAAATCAAACATGATGCTTAAGGGGTTAAGGCACACACACCCGCTCACGCACACACGTACATATGCACACACTCGAAGCTGCGTTTAAACTCGCATGCGTTGATTTCATTTTTACGCCTCGTAAGTGAAATGAAATGAAATAAGCTGAAGGAAGAAAGCAGAGCAAGACCCTGTCCTTCTGTGCTTGCGCTTTTGTTTCGCCTCCTTTGGCTTGTGCGTCATATTGTGGCATGCCACATTATTTAATTTACTTTTAAGAATATTTTACAAGGCACGCAGACAGCCTGACAGCCTGACAGTCCTCGCTCACGCGCTAAGCGAAAGGCAAACAGGCAGCCACAGCCTCAGACTGGCTCAGGCAGCGACTCTTAACCTCAGCACACACTATGCTCTCTTCTCAAGCGGGGTTAATTCGCAAGTTGATGGCTTTTGTGCGAGTTTCATCTGCTCTCTGTAGCTTTTGTCAGCTGGCAGAGATTTTCATTAATATTTGCTTTTTAATATGTAGACAGTCAACTATATAACTTGACATAAACGCTTTCAATCAAGCGAGCTCTTGCTCTCCCCTGAGTGCATTTAAATTAGTTTTTTCTTTTACCTTTGTGCGAGTCTTTCTTAAAGTTATAACTGGCTGTCAAGTGCAAGAAGTTACGCAATTATTTATTCCCTTCAATGCTTTTTGATTCTCTTCTGCGCTTCATTCGTAAACATACAACTGGGAGTTTTATAATCTCTTCTTTATGCGGCATCCGCAAAAGCTCTGTCGCCTGACATAAACTCCCATTGCTACTAATTGTTATGCCATGCTGAATTCCTCTTTGTGCGGCATTCGTAAACGTTTGTTTGTATAAAATCGAATTCAGTTCCTATTTTATTAACCAAAGCGCATTCATGTTTCGGTTCTTTCTTTTAAATCGTGCCTGCTGCCCGAAAGTAGGCTAGCATATTTATTATATATGTACGTATGTATATATGCCCCATTCCGACAATCAGATGCGCTGATACGATGGTTGGCTTTCGCTTTCTATTTTGTGGCTCGAGAGGGGCTTGTGCATGCGAGTTTTTACGAGCGACTTCCGTTTGACAACGCAACATGTTTACCTACAAGACATTACAAGGACGACAACTCTCACACTCCCCCACCACCCACCCCCTTTCGCTTCCCCAACCGCTGCCCCTAACCACTACTCATACATTTTGTATACCTGGCCCTGGGGCATGCTACGTGGCGCGGCGTCAATTTAATTCCACATTTTTCATTATGCTTATGCTGAGCGCGCTTGGGAACTGAGAGTTTGCCATATGGCAGCTGTAAGAGGTTGCCGCTCGGCAGGTTGTGGGAGGGATGGAGAATAGGGGGTGGGTGGTGGTTTTTAGCTGTTAGCTGATGTTGTCTTTGCCATGGGCAACACTTAATTATGTTCATTATTTTCATGGCACGCGGTTCCCAAACGCCATCGACTTTGTTTTGGCATCCTTCCTTGTGCCTTTGTCCTTGTGTGCTTAGTGTGTTCCTCCTTCTGCCTTTCTGTAGCTAGCTGCTTATTTAAATTGAATTTTATGTGGCACACTTTTTAGTGACATTCCATGTTTTTTCCTGCTTTTTTTTTTTGCGCTTTGCTTTGCTCTTGTCGCATTCTTTGCTAGTCAAGCTGCTTGGGCTATTTGCCAAAGACTAAATGAAATATTTGCCGACGTTTTGCTTGATGCGTGTTTACCTGGCCAAAGCCCAGGCCCATTCGCCGCTTGGCATTTATCATGGCCAGCCACGCCCAACAGGCCACACGCCCATGTCTGAGCCTGCCATTTTGCAGCCATTACAAATCGATTTGTCTTGCCTCGTCCCCGTCCACGTCCGCGTCCTCGTCGTCTGGTGTTGCTGACCGAAAACTTATTGCTCTATTAAGCGAAACGCAGCTCGAACAACGTCATCAACGTGGCTCTTGGTAAGTCTGCTCTGGTTCTCTTCACCTCCGCTTCGCTGCTTTTGGGTCTCTTCTCTTAAGCTGCTTTGCCAAATTAAGTCAAATGACCTCGCTCTCTCTCCCTCTCCCTCCCTCTCTCTCTCTCTCTCTCTCTTTCTCTCTTTCAATTTATCTCTCCTTTTGCCAAGGCTCTCTTTTATTCACGAAACAGCTTTAAGTTAAGCTTTAAGTCTTTACTGGCAGCCCCATCGTTCTCTCTTGCTTTCTCTCTCACTCTCTCTTGTTTAACATTTGCTTTTTCCCTCTATTTTCATTTAAGCTGCTCGAGACTTAAATCCAGTTGAGCTTTTAACTTTGCTTGAGTCTTCAGTCTTCAGCTTTTGCTGAATGACCCCCTATTAAGTAAGATTTTAACCAGGATGTCTTGAACTGAATCACTCTTGACTTGAACTTAACTCTTTGCTGTTGGTGTTAAATCAGGCAGAATTCTTTTGGTGTCTTTAGGTTATGCTTTCCTTGGGGCTCTCTTGTGATCGAACTTAAAAATTTTCGCTTTTTAATTAGACTTGTATACGTGTGTCGCAAGGTCTTGCTGTTAGTCTGTTAGCTTTAATTTTTTTTGTTGCGTTTTAAGTACTTGATAAGTGTTCAAAAATATGTGTTAATAGACAATTTCTCGTTCTCTTTCTATGCTTACAGAAACAAACGAAAGGTACAGAATCTACTGCCCTGCAAGACGCCCACGCGTGGCGCCCTCAGCAGCACGCTGCCATTGGGTGGCGGCGGGGGTGGAGCGCACGGTGGGCAGCATCATCATCATGCCATGTACGAGGATCCCGATGCGCATTTGGGTCATCATCGACCGCTGGTGATGCGGCATCATCAATATCAGCAGCATCCGCATCATCAGCATCCGCATCATCATCATCACCATCATCATCATTATCAGCAGCATCCGCATGCAGAGGTTAGTATTGTGTTAATGCCAAGCCCCACATCCCCCCCCTCCCCCCTCTCCCATAGGAGAGGAGAACTATCCAGCCTGATGTCCTTTTGTTCGGCAAGCTGTTTAATTGTCGTGCAGGAAGTTTTGTGTTTTTTCCCGAGTTGTTGTCAGGTTCCGAGCTGGGGCTAACATTACGACAATTCCTGTCAAAACATTGCACTGTCATTGTCAACTTGTCACACACACAAGACACACAAGACACACGCACACTCGCACACACATACAAACTGTGTTATATGAGATCTCTTTTCCTTAGTGCCTGCTTTGATCCTTTCTTCGCATTCATTGATTGTTCTATTGCTTTGTGCTCCTTCCTTAACTCAATTTACACTTGAACTTGACAGCCGCACATATCAAATTCATATTCATATTCATGACAAATATGTATATGTATATAAATTATATATATAATATAGTTATCCTCATGCATTATCTGCTTTGCCTTTCGGCCTAATTCGCCTTTTGTGCCATTTTTGCGACTCTCGACGCCTTTGCTTTTGTGTGGTGCAAAGGGAGCTGCTGCGCAAGACGTGTTTGTCCCTTTTTATTTTCTTTGTCTTCTTGCTTTTCATATCATCATATTTCTTGATACCGCTTTATGGTCCATTTGCCTTCGTCCTGAGTGTGCTAAAAATGAAGTGCGTGTTTATTTTATTGTCTGATAAACAGCTCCTTTAGGCCATGAAGCCGCTCAAGTCCTCTACTTTGCGTTCCAGCGGTGCAGTCTGCAAGTCCTGTGCTCCAAATCTCAATAAATTGGCGATATAATTGCTATCCTTTTACTGAACTCAACTGACATCCTGTGTTTTAACATAATTTCTCCTTTTATAATTTTAAAGCATTTTACTAGCACGTGCTTAATTTTTTTTAAGTGACCTACTTTAAGCCTGCTTTTCGTCCTGCTTCGTCCTGTTTACGTTCCGTTTCGCTCTGCATATTTATTATTCATTTCTCGCGGCATTTGTTTTTGCCGTTTGCCTTTCGCCTTTGGTCGGCTTTGAACGCTGTTTCAACAACTGCTTACGGTTTCCTTTTCTTTCTGTCAAATACCCTGTAAAGGTATAAGCGAGCTTTGGGTATACATATGATACGGTTGGCTTTGTCTCAACCAAATATTTGGGGTTTCTGATTTTCAATATTATATTGACTTATACCCTGCATATGTTGAACCCTTAATACCCTGTAAAACCTTATTGAACAGTTGTGGGTAGATACATTTAAAGCGTGAACTTCTGACAGGTAAATATCAAATGTTTCGCTTTAGTTACTTTTCGTCTAACAGGGTGTTTGCCAGTCGAGCATGCCTTTCAACCTTGATATGGCATCTGCTGTGTCCCGACACATTCCGCCTTGTCTTAAAGTTTTGCTCGAGGCTTTGTCAGTTCTGTTCTGTACTGAAAATCGCTTTCCACAAGCCGAATGAAAGTTCTTACTAACTCCCTCTCTCTCCTTTTCTCTCTCTCTCTTTCTTTTATAGCTGCTGCAGGGCAAGAGCATACATTATCCGAGCGGTTATCCGATGACGCGCTCTCCGCCCTTCCTTGTCAGCTCCTCACCCGGCCCGGATCCGTATCGCTCCAATGACAATGTCTACGAGGAGCTGGGGCCCGGACGCGTGGACTCCGACGGCGAGTCGGAGCCGCCGCTGCACTCGGACGATGATTTTGCCGAGGACGAACTGTCACTGCCCGGCGAGTGCAGCTTCCACAAGGAGGCCAACAGCATACCGCTGACAAGCACCGCGCCTGCGTCCACGCCCTACCACGAACGCGCCTCCGGCAGCAGCGGCAGTAGTGCAGCAGTTGCAGTTGCAGGCATGCAGGTGCCGCCGCCGCAGGAGCGGCACAGCGGGCTGAGCTCTGGCTCCTCGACGGCGCAGGATGCCTCCACGGCCAGTGCATCCGCCAGCAGCAGCCACAACAACAACAACAACATCAACAATAATAACAGCAACAGCCACGAGCTGGCAAGCGGCGGCCTGCTGCGCCGCACTCCCCGCAGCCGCCAGCAACGTGCGCAGGACGAGCTGAACAACAGCAGCTCCACGGCGGAGATTGCAGATCTGGCGCCACTCTACGATAATCGCAGCAACATGATGTCCCTCGGCTATTTGGCGCGCTCGACTGCGCCGCAATTCTATAACACGCTCGAGCACGAGGTGGAGCGCCGAAATCGCATCAATGCACAGCTTAGCCGGGCACCGGTGCCGCCGCTGGCAACCATCTATCGGGAGCGCATTCGCTATCCCAGCGTTCAGCAGTATGCGCCAAACAGTGCCAACGGCCTGCTGGCTGCCACCATGCGGGCGCGCACCCAGCCGCGCCTCGTTGATCGCCGTCTGGCGGCGCATCAGCATCAGCATCACCGCATCCATGCGGCGCCGCTGGCAACAGAGCCCGCCTACGGCTATGCGGAGCCCATGTACAATGCCAACTATTATTATGATAGCGTCGGTGCCGGTGCAAGCGGATCGGCTCGTCCCTATGCCTCCACTCTGCTGCCCACAACAACAACAACCGCAACAGGTGCTGCGGCAGATTACAGGCAACCCTACGGCGACTCGAGCTTTGGATCCGACTCCGGCTACAGTCACCATACGCCGGCCAGCTCGATTGGTCGCCAGGATTACGATCTGGCCGAGCCGCAGATGCAGCCTAAGCCCAGCAAGCTGAGCGCCGCCCTGAGCTTTGGCTGGCATCGGGCTAGAAAAGCAACTACCACGCCCATCGCCTCCATCAGCAGCAGCAATAACAGCAATAGCAACAGCAACAGCAACAACGAGGCGACCAGCCCAAACAACAACAGCAACAACAGCGCCTGCTCGACGGTCACCTCGCAGCTGGACAACAACAATGCGGCCAGCCTATCCCCGGCGTAGATCCGAAAGGTATTACCAGACCCGAGCCATTCGTGTGTGTATATAAACTGGGAGCGTCAGGCTCTCTTCCTCTCTTAATGTAGGTGTACAGTTATCTTGTAGTTAGCCTAGATGTTAAGCTCCTGTATTTGAGATATAACTAAGTGTAGTTCTACCCTCTCTACTGTTCTCTCGCCGCTGCGTGTACATCGTGAAAGCAATAGACATATGTTTTAGATATGCTTAAGTTAGGAACTCCGCCCCCTATATATATATATATATCCTATTTGGGGGCTGCCATAAGTTAAAAGTCAGTTTAACTTCTAGAAAGCAAAGAACTTATAGCGTCTAAGTGTTTTTCCAATGTGATTGCCAAATTCTACAATTTAATATAATGAAAATAACTGAAAGCAAACTAATTTATAACGTAAATTATGAAGAAACTAATCTTTTTTATTGTCCAACTTTAAGTACATGTAATTTTAATGAATTTTATAAGGTTTTGTTTGTTATTTTAGTTTTTAAGCAAAAGAACAAACCGAAAAGAAACGAACGTTAAAGAAAACTTAGAAAAAAACAATACCAAAATATTAAATGATATCACAAAATTGAAACTCAATTGGCTTTTTATACCCTTGCAGATTTTCAGTATACAACATTTTCTTTGTTTTATAAAGCACACCATGTTACAAGCTGTCTGCTTTTGGTTGGGCTTTTAACTAGTGCGTCGATGTCTCTCTGAAGGATCTCGCAAACCTCATTTGAGCAATAATTTTGATATTAACAAACATTTTGTGTTGTTTTACAAGACTTCTTTTAAAAATGTTTTGATGTGTGACATTTCAAGAACTGTTGCATACTTTTAAGCACATTTTGTTCGAAACGCCGCTGCTGCCATTAAAGTGTAGCATGCTTTTAGGCTCGCCGCGTAAAAGCAAGACATTAACAGAATTTTAAAGCGCTCTCTTAGGCGACGCAAAATGTTAACAGCAGTAATGGTCATTTTACATTTGCTTAACATTTATGCTAATTTATTTTATTTTTTGTTTTTTAACATTCGAATATTTTTCAGCTTCTTGTTTTACTGCTAAGAAATTGCATTTCATAAAGCCTTTGCTCTGTTAAAAGGCTCTTACAAGACTGTTTACATATTAAAACTAAACTAAATAATACAACATATTTACTTAATGCAAAAACAATAAACTGTATTATATATGAACTAACATAGTTGATTACACGCTTGTAAATTGTGTGAAACTAAACACCCATTAGGTATACCGAGTGAAGCCGCAGTATTAAGTGAGGGGCTAACCAAATGTTAATGGCCCCCGCCCATTGAATCACTTGCTAGGTTGTATCAGATCTGTAAATAGCATGCGATAACCAATAAGACAAATAAGAGCTCCACACCCATTAGTTTAGGACATGCTAAGGAACTCTACGATGCGAATGTTAAATTTTCATATACTATGAGCACAATGCAATGTATCCTATAATTAGTAGTCTATACATATATATAAATATATATATAAAATAAAACTAGAACTTGAGCCAAACAATGCTGTACATAGAAATATCTGAGCCAATAAACTAAGAGTTATGATTCGTAGCATTTACCATACATCTCATTCCCCTCATCAGCTAAGCATTCCTGTCCTTGCCATAGAATATGCTTCTCTAACAGTTCAAGTCGTTGTGATTTTTGGATATCTACATACCGAATACCCTAACTAAAAATTAAAAAAAAAAAAAAAAATAATAAAAAACGTAATGAGCTAAAGCTAAAGCTAAATAGTTGAAATATTGAAAATTATGCAGAAGCACAATCATTGAACGAGTGACAAAAAAAAGCTATCGAATTCGAGCAGCCAGATAACCCTATAAATGTATACATACATATATTCAAACTAGAAATATAACCACATACATATATACATATAACACGTAGACTTCTTATATTTGAGCTCTGCTTCAAACATCCTAGTCTTTTAATTTCCCGCCCATCGCTTGATTTTGAATATTACATATCAATTTGGGATTTGGGCTTAGAGACCCGCATTTATGTAATATAGCACACCTGGTTTCCGATACTATCAATATCAGTACAAAAAACAAGTTTTACTGTGCGTAAATTAAACTATCATTAAACTCAGAAATACTTTTATCGACATCTCCTGTACATATGACAAGTCAATAATAAATCGTAAAACAAAATGCTGTAGTTCTTCCAAAAAAAAAAAAAAAAAACAAAAAACAAAAAACAAAAATAAATAAGAAATACAACTCTATTGTTAATCGATAACATTCTAAGTATTTGTGTTAGCATAAAAACAATGAAATGATTTGTAAATAAATTGGTTTTTGTTAACTTTCATTTTGTTATGAGAACTTTGACAGCATATCAGCATTGGGTCTATATAAGATCCTAAGTATACCGAAACTAATTTTTGTATAACTAAAAGAATTAGCAGGCTCTGTATTCTACTTGTCTTTATATGAAAACGCGAAAACGATTTAATCGAATTTATAATGTTAAACGCCAGTTAATCGTACATTAATATCAATTAAATTAAATGATTAGCAATTATGCCAAATATAGTTAGTTTATAAATTTTTTGTAAAACCAATTAACAATTAGTTACCCTCTCTATAAGCAGATATGGATAATAATTAAAATCAAATTATGAATACAAAACAAGGCATCAAACTTAATAGCTGGAATGAAGAGGGTATTAACAGCAGGATTGATGAAGACTCTGTTAAACAGTATGTTAATAACATAATGTAAACTTGTGCTGCTTGAATTGTGAACGGAACCTGTACAGCGTAACAATGTGAAGCTAGCAACAGACATAAATCTGCAGCATAATAAATATCTGCGCGTGTGAGAGAGAGAGCGAGAGAGTGAGTGAAAGAGTGAACAAGTGAGTGAGTGAGAGCGATACAGTGCGAAGCGATGCAGTTAATGTGCTTATTTTAAAATTTAAATTGGCTTGCGCAATGCGCACTTGAACTGGCAGAGCCCACAAAATTATAGGAGAGTTGGAGGTGCAAGAAACAAGGCTCATATGTCTGCGTATGTGCGTGTGTGTGTTTGTGCGTCTGATGCTAGTTTCCTTTTAATAGAAAGTTTGCATTGCGCTTCTGCCACATGTTTTTTATTCTGTTTTCTCCTTTTGCACAATGCGCTCTGAGTGTAATTAACAGTTACTTGCAGCAAGAGAAATGCTCGCATTAAGATAAACAACTTAATTATTTTCCTAGGTTGCGCCAGTGTGCTTGCGTGTGTGCGTGTGTGTGTGAGCGTGTGTTTCTTCGCACTCTGCTGCGGCTGGAGCTAGGCAAACGAGAGCACGAGATATGCACTCGAGCAAGTTACAGTTGCAGGCAAACTTAACTCCGAGGTGAGCTGTTAATGAAAGCATCAAAGCTTGTTGAGTAATTAAATACATGCACACTTACTTTTGGCAAGTCGCCGTCTGTGTGTGTGTGCCTGAGTGAGCGTGTGTAGGTGTGTTATCAAGTATGCCAATTAGTGAGCAGCTTTCAATTTCCTTATGACTGCGCGCAAATGTATGCAAACGAAAAGTAAAAAAAGAAGAAAACTTAGGCACTTTGCGGTGCCTTGAGTACATATAAGCAAACGCACACAGTGCACACCTGTACATACATACATAGCAGCCGGAGAGCACAAAATGCTGCATACATACAGAGAGACAGCAAAATAGTTCATTTACGTAGACAGGTGTTCAAATGGGAAACATTTCAATATTATTTGCCCAATTTATATTCAATATTTTGCTTTTTACTACGCATATATTTACATATGAAAGTATGTTTGAGTGCGTCGCTTAAATACTGACCTAGGCAAAAAAAATGTGGATAGCGAATCAAGTTTTGCTCTTGGAAACACGTAAAAAGCTAAGTCAATTTTTTTCGACCGGCATTAATTAACACTGAATAGCCTTAAACTTCAGCGCCCAAAACTTTTAACATCGCATATTCAACCGTTTATTAACACTCCAGCTTCCAAAATTGCAAAACTGCGAAAGTATAAAGTGTGGCAAGGCAACAAAAAATACATTTAACTTGAGATCTTTTATTTTATAAGCTTTTTGCATGAGGCTTCGATATGTTTGGAATAGCCCTTAATGCTAACGGATTCGTTCAGCTCGTGCCACCACCCACGAACATATCTGCTGTCAGACATTTTAAACAGGACAATCGCAATAAAATCATCCGGAATTATTACGTTATCAGAGCGAGTTCGGGGAACTATAAAACACTTTTATTATCAACTCTCTTTAGTATCTTATATTTCTTGGAAATACTTTCCTGCCTCTGCTATTATTAATGTGTAGATAGTTAATCATATGCCTGTATATTATTTTATTTTATTTTATTTATTTTTATATACAGTGAGTTCTAAACTCATTTGATATTTCGAAAATTATCTAATTGCTAATTGAAATTTCATGCACTGCCCAACTATAAAACTAATTACGTTTATCGCTCGACAGAAGTTATTCTGCACATTTGCCCAGAGTTGTATTTCGTGCTCTTCTCCACTTTAGGCTAATCAAAACTTTTCGCACCCAGTGTGCCAGATATATATGTATGTATAGATTTTTTGGTAGAGCGCTTCTTTTCATTAGAATTTCACACATGGCCCAATTAAATAATTAAGACATGTGAGACATGAGCCGAAAAACACGTTTGTTAACTTTTTTGGCACAACTGGCAACAGTTTTTAATTAAATAACGGGCACAAGAGTTCCCACCTGAAATAAAGTTAAGGCACACTCCATGTGTAGATGTGGGCGTGGCACAGGCTTTTTGCACTTTTGCAGCTTGAATATGTTTGGAGTGAGGAAAGTTTTTGTTCGTCTCGGGTGCCATTTAGTCGCCCATGCCCAAATAACTGTAAATGTGTGTCAACTGTACTAGAAAGTGGTGAGCCTCTCTCTCTGCCTGTCGTCATCTCTTTCTCGCTATACTTTGCTATTTGAAGATCTTGTAAAGTTTGTAAGTCGTTTAAAATTGATGTGCCTGGCAGCTGCTCGGCCTGCTTGTGAAGTGTTTTACGAGACAAGATGGCTACAAGCTGGCATTAACTGCTTACCGTTAGTTCCATACATGCTTGGGCTGTTTTTCAACACTGTAAAAAGTAGGTCGATGGCCGATTCAAAGGAATTGACAGCTTTGAAAATAAATCCACTGAACGTTATTCAACACTAAAAAAGGAACCACAAATAAAAAATGATTCAAATTCACCGATCAAAAAACCTATTGAAAAGATAAAATAATGACCTCTATAATAGCTGGCTAGAATATATTTACGAAATAATATTATAAAATATCTTTTAACAAATTAAAAATATTAAATTGGTGTAGGCAGCGTTGTATTGTTAAATAAACCCTGAGCTCATTTCGCCATATATCGCTCCCATTGTGACAGCCCTGTAGCGTTTTTTTATCATCAAAAAAACATATATAGACTTATTTATGTGGCGCTTGGGCCTTCAAGTCCAAATGTTTGCAGACCACTTCAATTGTCAACTATCAACCTACTTATCACCAAAGTTCAAGACGATATCAAACGTTACACAACTTGAATTCAGTGGCAGTCGAAAGTAATTGCAGTTGTGGGTATTAAGTGCTCAGCCGGCTCGCGTCACATGAGGCAGATTGTTCAAATTGTTGCATGTTAGCATGGACTTTTAGTGTTAACCAACACTGCTTGCAAATCTAATTTTATCACAGCAGTGATAGCACATGATTAATTAGTTGCTAATTAGCGCATATGATGAGTTCTGCCAGTTCAGTGGACAGCCAAAAGTCAGAAGGTTCGGTAACAGAAAGCAAGCAACACGCAACGCATTTGCAGAATGTCTTTAAAAGAGAACAATTGGGGACTGGGCCTACTGTCGGTCTTCCTCTTGTTGGGTGTGCTCTGTGGTCACACGGTGCAGGCAGATGATGACGGCACGACTCCCGTGGCCTGCAATGTGAGCACCAGCATAGCGCTCGATCTGGAGAAGGTAGGTGAATATCTGATGATCTTTCTGATGATTCATATGCGTAAAGCTACTCAAGTAATTGTTCGTAGTTCTCGGGCATCTGGTGGGAGATTGTGCGTCAACCACTTGGTTCCATGTTCTGCACTCAAATTAACTTTACAGTGTTGAACACAACCGTTGATAATGTGCTGATCGATACAACCTACTCCAATACGTATACCTATCCGTGGGTCAATCAGACCATGAATGCAACATTGACGGTTGCTAATGCCACCGCCTCGCCGGATGGCTACAACTTTACCTACTGGAATCCACCTGTCTATACGCCCTACACAGTCTTCAAGGTCTTGGCTACTGATTATACGGACTACGCTTTCATTTGCGGGTATACCAATGCCACAGATAATTCAACGGCCTTTGGCATGATTATCGCCAGAAATCGAACGATCTCAACGACCCTTCTGGATAAGCTCGAGAGTCAGAGTTCCGCTAATTATGATAATTTCCTCAATGGCACCATGTCTCTAATCACACAGGACGGCACGTGAGTAGCGTTTCAGTATTTGATATTTATCACATGCTCTACAAATATATACTTTATCTTTTTGTATCTCTGTTCACAGTTGTGAGGGAAATGGTGCTGATCCCTCAACGGCTTTTACGGTGTTCTATGCTGTTTTTGCCATGGTTATTTACCTCCTAACCAAATAGTTTTCCAAACAATTTTTGTAAAGCAATATTACTTAGTAGGAATGGGTCTAGCTGTTTACATTGTTGGTAAATACACGTCTAATAAAAACCCAAATATAAAACATCTGAATTATTATAACTAAAGAGTTAAAGCAAATTTAATAAATGAGTTTTGAAATCATTTAGATTTATCAAATGTCCATTTTATTTACAAATGAATTATAAGTAAAAGAAATATGTTATTCTTAATAAAAAACAAACTTATAAAATGGCTACTGTATGAAATGCATTTTCTTTTAAAACTTTCTTTGACAAGCAAGAGACCTCGCTGGGAGGTGTGTTGTCAGGAGGCTCAAGAGAAGACGTTAATACACCTGCTCCAACGACACAGGAGACGCCCCAGAGCCCCCCGACTACCTACGTGACGATGCAGCCTTATTACTTGTCCACGATAAAGCCTGACGACCTACCACGCTTGGCGAAATAAAACCTAAGTCAACTGTGTTGTAATACAAAATGTAAGCTATTTTTGATTCAATATAATACACATTTATAAAAAAAATTAATATGTTATTCTCAATAAGAAAACTTATAAAATGGCTAGTGTAAGAAATGCATTTTCTTTTAAAACTTTCTTCGACTTTAGCCTTGAATAGTTTTTTTTTTATAAAAGTAAATAAGCTCTAAAGACGATTTTATTTATACAATATAAATGGTTAATACTTAATTAATGTAAAAAAAACTGGTTATTTATAGTATTAAATAATATTAACGTATGCGGAAAGTATTGGGAAAAGTATGAATCACACCTTGGATAAATTGCTTGGCAAGCGCTGTTTATACAAGCTTAAATTAAGTTTTAATTCTTTTTATTGGCTTACACAACAATTTTTCACATTTACATGTGCAGTTTCCCGAAAGTCTTTTGCGGTTTGGGAAGTAACCTCATAACTGATCAGTCGGTCATTCAGGACAAACATATATAGCGGGATATAGCAGTATCTGCAAATTGCAAGCATATCTGTCCGTCAGTCTGGTAATTAGTTCTGTCACGCTGTTCGCAATTTACCAGCTTTGTTCGCTATCTGTGGGTTCTTATTGTAAAATACTATACGTGCTTACTTTTATGACTCAGAAAATGATAAGGATATGGCGCAAGTATACTAGCATATATATTGATTGTGTTTCGGTCCATTTTTCCCACTCGTGGGACCTTGTTCTCCGATCCAACATAAAACTAACCTTTGAATATAACTCAATAAAGTCAGACCTACGCTGATCTAAGTTGAGCAATTTTTTCTAAATTCGATTCTAACAAAAATAAAGTCATTCGACTGCGGAATTATGTAGCTTTTTCTGTCGTTCTTCTGACTCCGCCGAGATGTGTGGATCGGCGTAAATAATTATTTATATATTGGTGTACACTGTTCATTGAAGAATGTAACGATGGATTGATAGTATATTATTCCTACATTGATAATAAGGAAATTCCATGGAAGAAGGCTATCGTATGAGTTATTCCCCTTCTTATCAATTAAAAAAACAATTCACTTTGGAGCTTTGTTTTTTTTTTTTTTTTCAAATAACCGGTAAACATGTTACAAATAAATTTCTTTTGTATGTATGCATAGAATTTACATCCAGTGATAAAGTCTTTTATTGCTATCTTAATAATTATCTATTAATGCTTTTAGCAAACTTTGTATCCCATTTTGCAACGTTTGCCTTATGCAATAGAAGTGATAATGAGCTCTTTGTCTGAAATGCATGATTTAGACATGCTTCAGATTCGTGAGCATTGAGTAACAAGTGAGTAATTTTGAAGAATAACTGTTTATATATTTATGTATCTTTGGAGAGTTGCCGGTTCAACTTACGGAGCAATTGTCAATTTTTATTTGTTTACTTGATTTGTTATTATTCATGTATATTTAAATAAAAGATATCGAAAATTCTTTATTATTTTCGGGAGCACGACTAAAGTATGCTCGCACGAACCCTAAAAATTATTACTTGTAGGTAGAGATTTATTTGATTGAGTTATGTCTTTTTTAAAATTTGGTGTCTAACATAAGAATTAACTATGCAATTGGCCAGATTTTGAATGGGCTGCGTTTGGCACGTGCGAAGCGTATATAATTTAACAAGATCTCAAAAAACCCAAACATGACCGATTCAATGGCAAACCTTTTGCAAGGGAATAAATAAATGAGTAAAAGTAACGTATAATAAAAAAAAATATATACATTGACATATCAGATATATTTTGAATAGCGGAAATTGTATATCTTTATAAGATAAAACGCATGATATCATAACTGAAGTATAAACAATTTACGAGTAGATAAATTGATGTTCTGCTGATAGAAAAAATTCAGCTGATAAGTTAAAAAATACGCTTTCATTTACTCAGAGGCATTAGTCAACGCTGCTATTTTTATGAAGCGAATTCAACTGGATGGCACATGTACGCAATTAGAAGCTTAAAATTTTGACAATTGTGCAAGAAAGGGGGAAATTTTTGATTAACTACAGGTACATTGGCGTGTGTGATAACCTAAGCCAATGCGATTAGTCATAGCACAAAACATTCGAATTTCTACGCTCTTCTAGACTATAGATACTGTGCCAAAATGGATAGCGATAAGAGACGTCAGCCAGAGTCAAACAGTAAGCTGCACCGAAGACTGACTGTGTGTGTGTGGGTGTTGATAAGCCGCAGCACAGACACGCAGTGTGTATCGGTTTGCCATAGCTATAAAAGACACCACAGCAAAGGGCGGAGCGACAGTATTACGAGTCAACTGAATCGAACCGAATCGAGGCGAACCGAACCGAGGCTTAACAACGTGTCGGTCAGGATATTACATCTAAGTGCAGTGATAAGTTAAGAAACCAGAACCCCTTAACCCCCAAGAAAAAAGAAAACCAAAACAGTGATCATGTGGAAATTTGTGATTTTGCTCGTGGCCACTTTGGCCCTAGTCTCTGCCCAAGATGCACCAGCAGCGACTGTGCCACAGAATTGCAGCGCTATCGTTGAGAGCTTGGATTGGAATAATACGGCAGTAAGTGTTGCGGTCTGAGCCCAAGTGGAATAGTAATTACAGATGCATTCGTGAATTCGCAAATTTTTTAGCTGTTCGGCACCTGGCAGGAGGTGGCCCGCAATCCGATTGGCGATGCGAAAGCCTGCCTGGAGTTCACGGTGGGTCTACTACACGACAATGTCACGCTGAGCATCAATGCCTCGCACTCGAGCAGCTCCACGTCGCTGTTCCAAAACGTTGACGAGAAGGCCAATGTGACGCTGGTGGCCAACGCCAAGACTGGCTACAACGTCACCTTCTTCCAGGGCAGCACACCCCAGGCTCCCGTGTACATAAAGCTGCTGCAAATTGTCAACAGCACCTACATCACGGGCTGTGGATATACTAATGCCACGGATAACAGCACTAGCTACGGCTTTATTCTAGGCGCTCCCAATAAATACACAGCTGAGGGCATTAAGCTGGTCAACGATGGTGCTTTCCCATTGTACAACAATTTTCTGAACAATACCTATGCCAATATCACACAACAGGGGTAAGTTAAACGTTTTACGATTATGAGACATAAATTTAGAATCGGATAAAAATTCAAATTCAACATTAATATTTTCTGAAAACTCCCAATTATCTGTACAATTTGTTCTACAATTCTCAACGTCAACAAGTGTAGTGTTGCAAAACTCCATTAAGTGCTGCACAACTCAACAGTTGAGTGTTAGATAGATTTATATAGTATAATTGGGAATATTTCAATTTGAATTTATTCAATATTTAAATTGGACAAGAATTGAATTTTAATTTGAAACCAATTTTATCTTTTTATTCTTTCGCAGCTGCTCTAGAAACTCGGCCGCTCAGTCGCTGCCCTTGATTTCTGGCGTCCTGGCCCTGGCCCTGCTGCTGATCAAGGCGCACTAAAAGGAAAAAACCCAATTGCTAAGCTCGTTAATTCTTTGCTTGCCTCATATTATACTTTATTAGTATACTGGTTCGACTTTTATTTAGTTTTTAGTGTTTATTTAAAATTGAAACGGTGTCAGCCAGCAAAAAACCAACAACTGACGCATCTAGGTAAAAAAAAAACAATATAATTAGCTAAAAAAATAAAAAAACACTTCCAGAGGAAAAAATGATCATGTGCATTACTTTTTTTCATTTTCATTGAACTAACGTCTTTTTTTACCAGCTTTTTTGTTGTTGTTCTTCTTAGCAATTGGCGCTTTAATTTGTTCGCGACATGTACAAAGCATGCGAGATAAGATAAAAAAACTGAGCACAGAACGGTGCAAAGATAACATTAGATAGCCAAACAGGTCACCCACAACTGAAAGCCCTCGAATAACAACAACAACAACAACAATAACAATAACAACAAACGATATAGAGGAATTTGCTAGTTCGCAAGTGCGTTGTAAATCAATCATACGCCCCGCGTACGCACCATTCCATATTGCCAGCGAACCTTATCGACAGACAGCAAAACATTTTATATCATGGCGACTGATTGATACAACAAATCACTCAATTCTTAAGATTTTTATTCGTATGTAATGTGTATATTTGTGATATTCAATTAATTAATGCCCGACTCATTATCAATGAGAAACCATAATTGATGTCATTATTTGGGCACTGGTTGAGCGGGTCGTGGGCTATAATCAGTATTCCTATATCATAAAATAAAACTTTTCTTATCGTTGCTAGGATTTACGTTTATGGATCAGGTAGTTACAATCGCAATCAATTTATAATATAGGTTTCATTGACTTAGTCGTAGGAAGACAAGAAGTTATGAAATAATAAAAATGGAAATGAAACACTTGACTTGGCTTTAATGCATATAAAAAACCTATTTAAATTTAATGGCTGTCTGTTAACGATTATTTGTGCACACAAAGTCGATGAATCAATATTGAAATCTGAATTACGATATCTAAATCATATGAATGAATAATCTATTATTATTTTGTTTCCATCATAATCCTCAACTACTTTCGACTATCAATAATTATAGATTAATTAATTAATTTACCGCAATGTCAAATTAATAAATTGATCACAATTCTATATTTGAAATCGAACACGATCAAAATGGAAAAAGCGGGAAAAACAAAGTGAGCTCATTTGAAATACACGACAGAGCTGTCTGGCCATGTGTACCTGTGTGAACTTGAATGCCAAAGTGTTTGCATTTTATCGTTCTCAACCTGTCTGATAACGATAACAAAACAAACTGTCATGTCAAAAGCAAAACCACTCGGAAATCGACTCGTAGGCGGGGAGAAGGTGGCCAAAGACTAGTGCGGGTGTTGTTGCAGATAACTTAAGACCTATCTGACTTGGCACTTTGTCAAATGTCACAAGTTGGCAGCTCCACTTAATGACAAATTCACACAGTTTCTTAAGACACTTAATTGTGCTGCGAGTCGGGCAATCTCTGGGCAGTCCGGTAGCCAATGGGAAGGAGCTGCTTTGTTTATATTAGGCAAATACTTGAAATTGCCGTGCCGGATGTGAGCGTATCCCTTGGATACGTTCCATTTGTTGGCACCGTCTCTCGCTTTTTATGCGCTTATCAATTTTCGCTTAGCTAAGGGTCCGCAAACTGATTGTTGTGGCTGCTGCTGATTTCTTGTTTGCTTATTTGCCTCGATTCAATCAACACACACTCCCGCACTCTCGCACTCACCCACACACATGCACACACAGTCTGAGCCACAAAGAGCCATAAAAGTAAACGTAGCTCAACTAAATCACGCAACACTTTCTTGCTTAACATTTACACGCATCCAGCTTGGGCAGCCCCTTGAACTCCTTGCGGCTTCTTGTTCCAGCTCCGGTCGCCCACTTATTCTGTGTACGATTTCTTTTGTTGCCACTTGACCCGCGGCAAGCCCCAGCTACAACACTTCAGACCCAGCCCAAGCTCACCCGGCTTGCTTCGTTGCGGTCCTTCGTTTGTTTATGTTTATTTGTTGATACAATTTGGTTACATTGTTTGCTTACAATCTCTATGTTCTTCTTCTTCTTGTTCCATCCAGTTGTTCCCGCTGCCTCGTTGCTGCTCTTGCTTTTGGTTTGAAAATTGAAATCAAGTTTACAACGATTAAGTAGCTGCTAATATCTTTGCCAGCCAAAGCCAATAATAACGAAAGCTGGAGAACAAGTTAACTTGTCGATGCTCAACGATTGAGGCTTGAAAATTGACTTGGTTGAATCGATTTGGTTTGGTTTTGAGTTAAGCTATATTACTTGCCATAGAATACAAATTTCAATCAACTTAAAAAGTGACACTTTTCTTACTTCAGAGTAAATTCCAAAAGAAACTGCTTGAAACAAAATCACTTAAGTTTTTAAATAAGTTAAAAACTTGCCAAAAAACTATTTAATTTCAGATCTATAAAGATATTTACTTGCATTAAGTTAGCATTAAGTTTTGGAAGATGTCTTCGACAACTCTAGACTCTTGTCAGTAATGTGAGTTTTATTCATTACAATACTTATTCTCGTCCATAATTAGGTAATCGATATGAATATAATATGCATTTTAGCCCTCTAATCGGCAGCTACTCAGAATCGAGTGCTGCAGCAGCTCATTAGGCCTAAATTATCTGATGCCGATGAATATTAATGTAAGGGGCAAAGTCATGACAGGCGACTGCGAGTGTATGTATCTGTATCTTTAGATGCCGATGTGGTTGCCGCACAACTGTTAATTGAATGTAAATGGCTCCAGCCTGGACTCATTCAATTACCGCACCTGTGGGCCAACGATTTCTCACACATCACACTTCTGTGTGTACCTGCACACACACACACACACACTAACAGACACACACACACACAACACGCATTCAATTTAACAAAATGCGTTTTGCCTCTGCTGGAGATCAAAATCCTGCTTTTGTGTATAGTTGGCAACCCTCAAATCTATGTAAATGCACAGTCAAGTGCTGCAATTTTCATAGCACGATTGCTGTGCGTATCACAACATAAATTACCCACTTGAATTTTACACACACGCACACATTCACTGGCATTCGTCTTTGCACACTCACCAGCACTGACTCAGTTTCTGGCCTAGAGCTTCAGCTCACAACTTAAGACAAACATTGAGTGCTCGAGTACAAGAATTTTGCAAGATTTCAATTTGTTTGATAACATCGCTTCAGATACACACACACACCCCTCTCCATCCTTTTCTTCACACTCTTTCACGTAGCTTCTCTTGTTTAAAGCCACTTGGGTGCTGCTTGTGGCAGAGCCTCGCAATTCATGTCTGAGCCAATTACCAAGGCAACAATATAGAGTTTTCACTGTCAGAAAATTTCCATATGTAAGCTATTCAGATTAAATGCCGCATGAATATTGGATTAATCTTGAAAATAATAATATCTAATAGCCTTATAGATTTTCATGGTTTTCTATTGCATCCATCTAAGCATGTTTTCAAAGCTCATTAAAGTTTAAAGAGAGATTAATTGTGTTGCCTAAAGCCAACAACACACTTTTTGGAACCTGAGTATATTGATAACACTTGCAAGCACATAAGACATCATAAGACCCCTGAAATCCGAGCTACAATCAGAAAGTACATTAAATCTCCTTTGGCTGAAAGCTCAACATTTTTTTGCATGAATAAACTTCATTTTATGAGATGTCCGAGCAAAAAGCTTTAAAAGCTTAGCTTATAATAATTATATTCAATAAGCGAAAAACCTTATTTTACGTTCATATTTTTTTGAAATCTTTTTGTAGAAACAGCTGAAGAACCTCTATTAAATTAGCTTTAATATACTTAAACTTCTCTCTGCTCTCAAAGCGGAACTCAAAGTCCCTCTTTCAGCTGGTGCCATTGTTCAACCCTCGCACCGTCTATGTTGACACACAGATCTCCTGCAATTGGTTGAGTATTGGTTTTGCCTTTGACTCAAATGTCAACGGCAAGCGGCAGTCATGTCCATGCCCATGTCAATGTCTATGGCCTGCAGTGCCTATGCCTGGGAAATTAATTAATAGTTTTGTCTGTGAGTGTGTCGATGCATGTGCACATCCACACAACCGTAAAACCCAACTCAGAGCATGACTGCGTATCTGTCCGCACTAGTATGTGCTTGTGTGTGTTTGTACCTTAAGCATTTTGGCTTTTGGTTTTCTAAGCACTTTGAGTATATTGTAGATATGGGCACGATTGCTATTAGCGTTGATTGGAGAGGAATCTTTGTTTGTCCGGAATCAGAGAAGCTTAGCTGGCTACGGACCTTGTTGCGGTCACCGGCAATGAGATACGTAGATCTGAGACGGTTAGTCGCAAGCATAATTGGTATCGGAAAGGAACTAGTGGTTACTATACAAGCTGTAAAATAAATAAATATGCATGATTTAATGTTAAGGCAGGATTGGCAGCCCCAACATTCTGCTTTGATTAATTCACTTCGTTTAAGGTTTGGTTCAAATAAAAAAATTGAATGTATAAAGCTATATTTTTGTAATTTTTTTTTTTAATACCAAAGTCAACGATTCAATTTTAAAACATTTTTTAGATACAGTCCTCTAAGCATGAAACATATTTAAAAGTATGGTAGCTTGCTTTTAGAAAGAGTTTTAAATTATCTGACAACAGGTTTATACGGAATAATTTTTAAAGGGAAACTTCGACTTAAATATAAGCATATACATACATGCATTTAATTATAATTGCAATTAACCGCAAAACTTTAAGGCCGACGTGTCAAACTGTTTAAACGCACACAATCACACACCCACACACTACGCTTACAACAGCTAAAACAATTAATTAAGTTCAAGCCTAACCCAAAGTTAGGAGTGAGTGAAAAAAGCTAAGCCCAAAGTGAAACCCATTTAAATTGCCAATTACAATCGAAGATAGAAGAGGATGACATAGAAAGTGTGGCACGAGGGACGAAGGGGAAGTTCAAGTGTCTGGCGCAAAGTGCCTTAAATCCAATAGAAAGCATAGCTTGTGCTCACTCTCTCTCTCTCTTTTTCCCTCTCTCTATCTATCTTTCTCCTTCGTTCTCTCTCTCTCTCTCTGAAAGGCGTCATGTGCTGGCTGAGGCATTGGCATTATTTCTAACGAGCGACATGATCATAAAAATAAACGCAAATGCAAACACAATGATGGGTGCGAGTGGCTTAGTTTTTATTTTTACACCTGTTTACAAGCACACGGAGCCAAATTTGACTGTGCCAGCACGCACACAATTAAATTTCCGGTAGAGCATTCGACTCGAGGTGTGTGTGTGTGTGCGAGGGTTGGTGTTCAAGTGTGTGTGTGTGTAATGCTACCTAGAACACTTTGGTATCCTTGCCAACTTTTTTGTGGATGACTGAGTAAGAGGGCCGCGTGTTTGAGCCATTAAAATTACGCCTAACAACTGTCGTAAAAATTTTCGGCTCACGCGGCGTATGAGTATTTTCATCTCGTTGCTGCACGTTTCATTACAAATCCATGGCACGTTTGCCAGCAGCAGCACGAATAAAACACACACATGCACACTCACACAGAAAGAGAAGGTACAATTTTCAATATTTGGCGCACACACACAAGGTGGGCGTGGCAGTTGGCGGAAATAATGCGGCGTCTGTCAAAATTGGCAAAATCGTCGCCGTTTCGTTGCCCTTAACTAAAATCAAAGGCGTCGCCTTTGAGTGGATCTCTGTGTGTGAGCGTGTTTGTGCTTGTGTGTGATGGTGTGTTTATGCATAGGCGTGCTGGGCGTGGCATTTTGTGTACGTGCACCATAATATTTTGTTTGCCTACATGCGGCATGTACGTAATATTTACTTTGCTTTTATTATATGGGCAATTGCCAAACACGTCAATAATAATAAAAAATAAATTAAAAAAACAGAAAATATTAAATAAAATTTCGTTTAATTTCAAATTTCATTAATTTTTTTTATGTATTTTTATGATCTCGTCAGGTGGGTTCGCCGTGCGAGGCGTGATATTTTATATTTTTCGCTAATAAGTAAATAATTCGCATTTCGCATCTGGCACCAAAAATAATCTTAAATGGCCGAGACAGGACTAGATCTGAAGATCCTATTGAGAACATAAAAGTATTTTAATTTATCTGGCACTAGCGATTTCTATCATCGCAAGAAATTGGATTCTGTAGTTTATGGTGTAAAGATAGTCATATAATTATAAAATATATGTTGATGTATATTGAGCAAGACAAAACAAAAATGGTGGACACACCCATATGCAAATACATGGGTGGGGTAAAGTATAACAATCTAAATAGAGAAGCGAGTCCAACATTCAACCATACCGGGGGGTACCTGTGCGTCATGGCGAGAGTCAAAAGTGGGGGCAAACTTAACGGGAAAGTGCTTCTTCAGGCAGGTAAGTACCGTACCGGTCAAATAATGACGGGATAGCCAGCGGCATTCGCAGGGCGGAACACAATCTTGGCACTTGGTCTCATGTGCCAACCACTTGCTCTTTGTGTTGGTGCCGGTCGGCTTAGCTACACCCAGACAATGTAGACGCCACGGCAGAGATGTATCCCGCATTGTCCAGAAGCAATCGCAGGGCGGCATGCAGTTAACTTGATGAAGAACATCCAACCTAGTTCGCGATGTGGCGTGACTGAAACTCGCGACTGGGGGCTTAGATAACGGGTATATGTTATAATGCGGCACGAGGCCATCCAGCTCCCTGCTAGTTTTCAATATGGTCTGATTTGTACTCTCTGCTGGGGTCTTGGTACACGGGTACAACTTGTAGCGCGGCACGAGTGCAATCAGCTCACTGTACTTGCGTTCACGTTCCCGACGTAGCCACATTTCGAGCATATCCCAATGATCCAGATTTGGAGAACGTTCCCGTATGAGTTGCATGCGTCTATACAAATCCGAGCGACGAACTGCATCATAGTTGAGGCCCGTCTGCGTGTGCCACAGCAAATAGAGCTCGTTGGGTTTCTCATCCGGCAGCGAAATACTGTGCGAGAATTTCGTCAGCTCAAAGTGAAACAACATTCGAATGGTATAGGTTATGTGCCTTATGTGATCAAAATCCTTGATATTCATGGCCGACAACGCATCGGCGTCCAGTAACAACAACTTTCGACCCCAGATCATATTCACACGAAATGTGCGCTATGAGTGCGTTAAGGAATAGAAATCATAAAAAACCCTTCGTCAAATACAGTACCAACACTCGTAACTTGGCTACCGCTTTTTATATACTCACCATATACTGCGGATACCCCAGTCGGCAAATCCATAGTCTTATGTTCTTGTCATTCCACTCGTACACCGATGGCAACGGCAACTTATCGACTACACTAACACATTGCTCGACGAGGGTTGCGGGGGTGACCCGGAACTGGATGGGGCATGTCTCACGATCGTATTTCTCGGGGCGTTCGAGTAGATCAATGGTTCGATATTTAAGTGGTGGTACCGTAATTTGTTTTTTGACCCGTTTCTTCTGCTTCTTTGTGTCAAGCTTGGTATCCGTTATGCCATACAAATAGGGCATTTTGCTTTGCTTATGCAAATACACACTTCCTAATTCCTTCTTAGTAGATGTTGAGTCTTTATGTGGAAGTTGACTTTTTATGTGTGCTTACTGTTCTGAGTCTTTCAGATATCATTTATCTGGGCTCAGCGATTGCAAAAGCACGGGATACTAAGTTAAGTTTATTTTATATACTTTTTTTTATACATCTTATAAAACTGACTTAGATCGCTTATTAGCCTCATAAGAACTTGAGATAAACCCACAACGCATGACGCATCTGAGTATTTACTGAGGTGCTGAATCATCTGCTCACCTGCTGACAGCTGACGCGTCTACGCTAATCTAAGGCAATCTTCAAATAAAAAAAAAATAGCAACAAATAATGAAACGACAACAGCTCAAGTATTAATTAAAGCAACTGAAAAAGATTTTTAATTAGTATTATCTTTCAAGCGGAAAGCAAACACCTCAAAACATAGGGGGAGAGAAAGAGAAAGATAGAGCGTGGCAGACCAAGAGAGAGATCTAGGCAGTATGAAGTGCCCAAATACTTGCGTTACACTTAAAAAAAGCACTTGAAAAATTACTTTAAGAAATACTCAGTTCAGGGTTCGTTTGCACCGCTACGCAGCCGCGATGAAACTGTTAAATGAAGGGTTTCGATATTTTAGGGATTGTCGAGCTCGAGGCCAATATACAAAATTATTATTGCAAGTTGATTCAAACCAAAACTTATAATCTCAAGGATAAGAGCCTTGATCTGAGTTAAAGTCCAAAATGGTATGTGTTTTCAATTTTCAAGTTTGCTTTCATCCAACAAAAATGTCCCTTAAACAAACATAATAATTCTCAATTTAAGTGAAGTTACAGCTTCTTCTTTCAACCTTGTTTTTCTTGTTAATAGTATAAAATAATATTTTGGATAGATCTTTATTATATATCAAAAATTTCTTATGTCCGCATTAAAATAAAGAAATATTAGAAATATTATTATCAATGTTTTATTAGAAGTACTTGTTTAATTTTTAATGGCATATGGTTTATAAGTAAACAGATGGACTCACAGAAAGGGCACATGTCAAAGTAGAAACTTTTGATGAAATTAGTAGAAGAGAAAATATTTTGACATTTAAATATATTTTGTCTGGCATAGTCTGAGATCAGGCTAACATCTCAACAGTGTACTATAGACTATTCAGTTCCAACGCTCTGTCTGCTTTCCGTTTCTTTGTTTGTTTGTGCACTAATGGACTAATGTCAGCAGCTGGCAGGACATTCGCTCAAAGCGTGCAGCTTCCTCTTAAAAGTGTTATGCGAGTCAGGTGCGTTGTGAATTTTGCTGCAACAGTCATTATAATAATGCCACAACGAAGTGTGCCTGGAAATAGTAATCAGGTAGAACATCAAGTCCACTTCTTTCTCTCACTCACTCTTACTCTCATCTTCTCTCCTTGTCTCGAGCACTGCTGTTTGGTCGCCGCGTGGGCTGTTTCTGATGTCGAGCACTTAAAATTTCATTTAAATATGGCTGTGGCACACACATAAAGGCATCGTTAAATGTGCAATCGTGCGTTGTGGCAGTTGCAATAATCGGTTGAAATAATAACTTTAAGTGCATCATTTTGTAAAGTTTTCCTTAAGCCCAGTTGTTGCTCAGTGTGAAAAGTACGTGCGAAAATGTTACAGTTCTGAATTTTCAAAGCAATTTTCAAAATTGCATTTAAAGAACTGACACTAAATTGGATTTTGATCTTGCTATGGTTGCGATTGGTTTTAAAAATCTGCCCTTCATAACGCTCTTTTTCTTCATTGTAAGTTGCAGTAACACATGAGGTAATTTATCATCGTAGTACGTATAAACGTAAGTTTTTCATTATCATCAATTCAGAGTAGTTGTAGTTGTATTAATTTTTCTTCGTTATATAATTAGTCGTGCAGCAATCGCCCCTCAATAAGAACTCAATATCTTCATTATAATCCGACGTGCAAGTATGTTATCCCTCTCAAAAGGGACTTGCACAGATTCTTCGTAACGTGTTCATTCATTCATTGAATTTATTAGCGGCTGTATCTTCCATTTGTATATAGAATGTAGACACATATTTACAGTTAACATAATTTCACATATTACTGATCATATCATATATATCATCTATATAAGATTGTTAGAAGTTAGAAGAACAAATTATTACTAGTATTTATGTCAAAAAAGTCACTACCATCAATTGACATATAGAAGAATAGATATGTATTCGTATCAAGAAATCCTCAATGATAATATTTTTATATAGAGCCTCGAACAAGCGAATGCTGTATAAGCAACTACATATATATGTACATGTATATAAATAAAATAATGTACGTTACGCATACGCCTGGGAGTACACAAAATCTCAAAATTATAATTGTTATAGCCGCATTTTGTGAAACTGTAGCGCTTGGAGCTAATTTGTGGTGATTTGCATTTCGATTTAATTGATTTTGTGCAAACTCGCAACAACTTGCGCGAAATACGATTTGCGTATCATTTTACATTTACATTTGCATTTGCCCATCAGCAAATCCATAACTTTATAGTCGGCATTTTGTTGTTGCTGCTATGCAACGCGTTCAGTGGAAATAGCTTGGAATTTTTTTTAGCAATTGAAATATTACAGATGGTTTGATATTGATTGAAATTTAACTAATTTATAATTGACATGACACGTACTGCAAATGCAAATGAATACAATAATTCTTTTTTCAAAATCCTAAGCGTGAATTTTGTAATTAAGGCAGAGATTTTTAGGGTTTAGTAAAATAATGTGGCAAACAAATGTTTGTACACCGCAACACATAGCGGCAAATAGTATTTTATATTGCAATTGAACAGCTTAGCACTGCATAGTACTTGTGTAAATAAAATTGGAGGTATATGTATATTATAAAGCAGCTTCAGTGCATGGTAAATATATATCCCGTCGCGTATGATGTGAGTTTAGCTCCAACATAAATTAGAAATAAGTATTATAGGATAATTACAATTTAGCATTCTGCATTAAGGTTCGTTGTACGGGCTACTAAAAACAAATAGCATCTATTGAAAACGAAAAAGTATGCATATTATGCAAGTAGATTTCTGCACCCGACGGATTTTTAACAAGAATAACATGCGGATCTTTCTAAAAAGAATTCTTCCAACCATTTAGATATCCATTTATTATATGGAATGAGAAATTCGTTATCTTATCCTTGATCTCAATAATCAACCATAGAAAGCAACAGAAAAGCTCCTTGATGCCTAGGTATATAGGAAATTTATTTTAAATTTAATTTATTTTCACTTTCAATTGACTCTTCCCTTTGCAAATTGATTCGTGCTTCATGCAACCTTGTAACATTAAAATTAATATTTAACTTCGCCGAGCTGTCGTCAGTGCCAAACTTTACACTTAACATACAAATTACAAAAAAAAGTCACACAGCAAATATAACAAAAATATATTCAAGTCAATCAAAACTTTGTAACTTTAATTTGCATTAAAATTAACACAACACATTTATTTGGATTCCACATGCCGGAAATTTTCCATGTCCCTGATTTATATAATATTTGTTTTCTGTTTATTTTTTTTAATTTTTAATTTTTTCGTTGGCAAGCAAACTCGGCACCAAGCAGCAGCCGTCACTTGCAGTCAAACTTTTTGGGCACAGAAAAAAATAAATAATAAAATAAAAGCACATTTGCATAACAGAAAATATAGACACTCAGGAAGAACGTTAACATTAAATGAAAAAGCACGCAATATAAATATTAATCATACGCCATGTGTAACAGCAATTAGATTGAAGTCATGTTTTTGCCAACACATGTGTAGAAAAGTTAGTCGAAAAGTTGTCCAACAATTGCTTTAAAATAACTGTAGGCTGGCAAGAAAATGCGCTTTTCATGACGCTGCCTAAATTATTTTACAAATAATGAATAATGTTAAAAACGAAACACAACAACAAAATATACTTTAAGTGAATGACAAATATGCTTGATATCGGGCAATTTATTAAAAGTTTGCTACTAAATCAGAAGTCTAGTTATTTGTTTAATATGTAGAATTAACTGCAGATATTTGAACGTGCACTTTAAGCTTCTGATCAAGGTGGATCTCGATATTGACGTCGGAGAAAATGCCCTTTTTTTATATTCTGATTCACACAACAGAAACGGCACTAGCTTATTTTGTTAATTATTTGATATTTGACAGATTGACTATTTATTTTGGAGATTCGGACAGTGCCTCTAATTAGCAAATTGGATCAGGCATGTACCATCTGTCCCAAACAATGTACCATCGAGCGAAATCTGGTACCAAAGTGTCAGCTTAGATCCAACATTTAATCAAACAATTAAACGCAAAGCCCCCTGGCACGACTAGCCACGGGTTCACACAGCATTTAGCATCTGGATTACCAAATTATGTGCAACAGCGCAACAGGCGCGAGGGCTGACAAAGATGTTGAGAGATATAGTTGATATAATGTTGCCATACATGTATCTGTATCTATTTATGTAATTGCAGAGCTAAATCTTTGGTTTATTTTTTTTTTTTATTTGTTTCCGTATCTATGCCCGTCTATTTATATAAAATTATACATATCTGTATTTGTAACTGACTTTGACTATCTCTATTTGTCTGCCGCATATGTATTTATGCCTATGTCTATATTTATATCTGTGTCTGTATCTGCATCTGAATTTACTGAATACACAGCTCACAATTGAGCTATGAGCGACGCTCTGATACTTAAGGCAAACAACGCCGACTCAAATTGTGATGTTGATCCCCGATCTGGCATCTGCGATCTGCGAGGTGCTATCTGCGACTTTAAGCGCTCATCAGTGACTGGCAGGCGGTTTTCGGCTTCATTATCAAATCGCGACTCACTGGAAGCAGACCTCGTCTCATAGTCACATAGGCTAGTTATGTACCCGCAACTGGAGGTGGACCCTGAGCTGACAGAGCGGGCGACTAAGGTGCGCCTGTTGGCTGGGAACCGCGATACAAAAGACGGTTCAAGTGCAGCCATCGATGACAAGGTGTCCAAGAAGGCACCGCCAGCACCCAGCAAATGGAGGCGCGCTCTGTTGCGTCATGTGCCCGTGCTTCAATGGCTGCCCGCCTACAATATGGAATGGGGCATTGATGATTTTATAGCTGGCATCACGCTGGGTCTCACCATCATACCCGAGAGCATTGCCTGCGCGTTGCTTGCGGGTCTGCCCGCTCGCTATGGCCTGTGCTCGGCTTTCATCGGGCCCCTCATCTATTTAATATTCGGCTCCATCGATAAGGTCATCATTGGACCCACCAGTCTAGTGGCACTGGTCAGCGTACAATTCACCGTGGGACGGCCCATCGAGTTTGCATTTCTGCTCACCTTCTTGAGTGGCATTGTCCAGATCATTATGGGCTCCCTGCACATGGGTAAGTACCAATGGCAACAAAGCAAAGACTGGCCGTTGAGATCTTGAGTAGTTGTGCTTGCTACGGTGAAGCTTTCTTTGACAATATGTATCGCACTTTAAACAGGGCCTTGGTAAAAGTTGAAAATTTGTGAAGGTCAGTTGTATGAAACTATTGAAACATTTCTCATGTTCTTTCGCAAATCTATTCGAAGGGAGTGAATAGCTTAATAGGTCTACTGACTCTCTACTGGTGTCTGGTAACAATTTGAGCGACTTAATCCCATTGTCAATTTACTGGTTTTCGTTCACGAGTACCACCTAATTGGAGGAGAATAAAGCGAGTAGAGCTCTTGCTCAGATTTCTGTTTAATCTCTAGCTAGATATATAAATACTAAGTACAAGTATAAATAAATACAAGTAGTATAAGTGCAATATGTGTTTGGTCTCTCACGAGTTCGTGTCCACTATATACAACATCTTCATTGGCTTCATTCACCCTGAACTTGGGTGTGCTATGGTGATTAGAGAAACGAGCTACTTGGGTTCTCGTGCCAAATCCACTTTGAGGCAGTTCCAGTAGTAAAAAGCATGCAAATAAGTGGGCATGCAGTCAGATTGAGAGACATTGTCAAATGTTAATTGACTCGATCAATTGGCAGGTGGGTTCATTAGCGCTGGCACTACGAATCGTAAGATCTGTTTCAATTACACCAGGCTTGTTAATTTACTAATTAAGATGATAATCGATTCAATTAGCACATAATTATCACATCTATGTAGTTTCCCTCTGAGCAACCAATATCGCCTGCTACAGCCAAACTATTCACACACTCATTTTGATTGCAGGCTTCGTCTTTGAGTTTATTTCGATGCCAGTGATCAAAGCCTTCTCCTCAGCCACAGCGATACTCGTTATTGAATCCCAGATCAAGGTACTGCTGGGCATCAAGTACTTAGTGCCGGGCCTTATCAGCTCGGTGAGCACCCTGAGTTCCCGCATCAGTGAGGCCAACATGGGCGATCTGATCATGGGTTCGTGTGCTATTATTTTTCTGCTGCTGCTCGAGGTGAGTGCACATTTCAATATGAGTGTTGCATATCTATTATCTTTTATATAGAGAATACATATGTTTATCTGTCTCCTCAGCTGCTTGAGCGTGTTGCACGCAGTGAGAAACGTAGCAAAGCTTTGCGCATTTGCTGTCGCTATTTATCCACCTCGAGGAATACGCTTATTGTGCTCATCGGTGGCATTGTCTCCTACATTTGGCTGGGCTACAGTGAGAAGTTGCCCTATGCCCTCAGCCAGAATGCGCTCTCCAGTTTACCAAACTTTACGGTGCCCAGCTTGACTATTGTTACGCAGGAACGAAGCTACAGCTTCTGGCAGATCCTCAGTGAACTCAGCGTGGGTATCGTTGTCATCCCCATTGTGGGCATACTCACAAATATATCTATAGGAAAACTGAGTGAGTACCAAATTCAATGTATCGAACATTTCTATAAAAGCAATTTATACCTGAAATAATGCATCGGTTGCAAACATTAATAAACTAGTTTTCTTGATCTCTGGCTTTTTATACCCTTGCAGAGAGTATTTTAATTTTGTCGTGAAATGTGTATGCCATAGAAGGATACATCTCCGACCCCATAAAATATATATATTCTTGATCAGTATCAACAGCCACGTCCGTCTGTGTGTTTTCTATGCGAACTTGTCTTTCAGTTAAATGCAAAATGTTATTTAGATCGGACTACTTATCGTATAGCTTTCATAGGAACGATCAGTCCAAAATTAAGTTGAATGAAAACTTTTTGTTTTTCTATATATCATCAAAGGTTGGATCTGCTAGAGTATTGAATCTTTGGCATGCGGAAGAAAGCCCTCCTTCTCGTTTAGTTTAAATATAACTCCATTGGAAGTTAACTTACTGGTGAATCTTTTTACAGCGCCCAAGGGTCTGGTGGATACGAATCACGAGCTACTCACCGTTGGACTGTGCAACGTGTTCGGGTCCTGTGTGCAGGCCATGCCCTCGTCGGGCGCCTTTACGCGCTATGCGATCAGCACAGCTTGTGGACTGAAGACGCCCATGGCCAACTTATATCTGGGTAGGTCCAAGTGCTAGTAATACGCTGACTTCGAAAACCATATCAAGTTTCCTTTTAGGCATCATCGTGCTGCTGGCGTTGGGATACCTGAGTCCGTACTTCAACTACATACCGGAAGCGACGCTGGCGGCCATTTTGATTTGCTCGATATTTACGCTGTTGGACTTTAGGCTTCCGCTGCGCCTGTGGCGCGAGTCTAAGCGAGACCTCGGCATCTGGTTGCTGTGCTTTTGTGTATGCGTGCTCTTTGGCGTGGAGGTGGGTCTGCTTGTGAGCATCGTTGTGACGGCGCTCCATCTGCTGTTCCTGTGGGCACGGCCGGAGATACTGGTGAAGATAGAGGAACTGGATGAGATGCAGTATATTTCGGTAGTGCCCGGCAATGGCATCTACTTTCCGGCCATCAATCATCTGAGGAGTCTTGTGCTGAAAGCCTGCACCCAAGCGGACTTCAAGATCACGGTGGTCATAGATGGCCACAAGATAACGGGACTGGACTACACCGCGGCACAGGGAATATCGAAGCTGTCAAGTGATTTGTGCCGGCAATCGGATGCCTCCAGTTCGATTCTCTTAGTTCTCTACAGATTTCCAGCGCATTTGCAGCATCTAATCGATCTGACCGACAATTTGGTCTTCTGCGAAAATGAGGGCAAGGTCAAGGAGTTTCTCACACAGGAATCCCTGCGCAATGGCCACATCAATCTGAAAGACCACATACGTGCCTCCATAGATCTGGGGTATAAGGTTGATATCGAATAGTTGAACATGTTGAATTATAGCACTCGGTATCTGGATATTATTTATTTAAATGTGCTTTTCTTTTCGTTCTGGCTTAGTCCTGGATTAAGCATTTTAATCCCAAATATATTTGCTATAAATATCTAAAATATTGTCGCTTTCAATCCAAAACGGAAGCCCGGAAACCGACATAAAAGTGAAAAAGTGGAGCAAATGCGCTGATGGCAGCAATTTATAAAAGCCACACTGACCTCTGCCACTCATTTGCACCCAGCCACACACAATCACACACACATTGACACACAAAGCGCTTGCTGGGACTGTGGCCAGCTTGGGGGGAGGCGTGCCACTGGCGGCGCCGTCAATGATTGCCAAGCTAATGGATTTCTGTTTACTTTTTCACTTAGAACGCCGAACAGCGTGCGCAACAAAAAGCAAAAAAAAAAAAAAAATTCGAAAAAAATTGTGAAAAATAACGCAAAGAAATTAGAGAAAAGCGAAAGCGCAACGCAAACTCAACGCTTGAATCACCTCTTGAGTATTTGAAAAACAGAAAAGCACAAAATCAGTAAAACTGAGAAAAAACTGCAAGAAATTATACTAAAATGCTCGCGTAAATTGGATAAAACTAAGAAAAACACAGCAAAAGAAAATACGAGCTATACACCAAGTAAGCGTAAGAGAGGCAGAGAGAGGGGGAGTAGGGGGACGGTGGGGGCAGGTGAGACTGAGAAGCGAAGCGAACGAACCATAAATGCTCTAGACAGTTCAGAATTTTCATTGGACGCCCTGCTCGCGGGTAACTTTATATAACAGTATTCCAAGCAACAATATTTTAATATACAACAAATTTTTTTAAAACATTTTCACCTAAAATATTCTTAAATATTATATAGCTGCCAAGACTAGTAATAAATTAGAGAGTACATTTTTAAACATTTTATAGTTAAGATTAAAATAAAAACTAGGGATTGATAAAATAAAGCATTCTTTTTGCTTTGAAAGAGATACATTTCTAATTGGCCAAAGGTCAAACTGCCTGGAAGACACTATATACCCTTTATTATAGAGTGACTACAGAAGGGAAAATAGAAAACAAGCGCAAAGCAAGTTAATTACGTAAGGTTAGTCGCTGCCGCCTGCCCCGCACTGCAGCAACAGCCGTGGAAGATCAGAACAGAACGAGCACCTAAAGAGATTTCAAGCACTTGAGGCGTTGCAAATGACGGGCCTTGTTTTTGATTTTCTATTTTCACTTCGCTATGTTGATTGCATTGGCAAACGAAGTGAGCGGATTTAATGAAATTTAAACCAAGCATCATCAAACCGCCAAGCCACCAAACCACTGACCATCTCAGCCAGGTGGCGCTGACTATGCAAAGTGGTTTCCTGGTAATTATTTCAATGGACTTTATTTGCTAAGCTATTCAGTTGAATTGTCTTTAGCTTCAGCACTCACTTCCCTGATCCCCGTATTCCTCTACGCCCTAGACATTTTCTGCATAGCTGAGCTAATGAGCGGAATGCATCGAACCTGTCAATAGTCAGGAATGCATTTTGGCCTAACCTCGATCTATGCGAAATGTAATGAAGTCATCTTCAACTCAATATAATAGTATTTGTACGAATAATTATGTAGTAGTCATTGAGCAGGATCAAATCCTGACAGACACTCAAGTATTTGTGGTCAGATAATCTCCAGGCAGTAGAATTCCTTTTCGTATATAAAATATTGACTGAGAGGGATTTCCATGCTAATGAGAAAAACACTTATAGAGATGGATACGTATTTGTACACAATATTAACTAATGTATTGTGGCAATAATAAGCAAAATGAACAACAATATAACACATGTATCAATAAATTTTCGATGACAGCCAAAAACATGTGTATGAATGCGGCGACCGCGACTAAACCAAATATCATTCAAATTGCGGTACGTGCAATCAAAATCACAAAAATTATTGCAAATGCGGAAAGCTGAAATGCATACTTTGCGGCTTCCAGCCACGTGTTGACAATGCAAAAACAATCCAAACCGCATTTCGCCTGTTTATGCCAAATATGCAAACTTTTTAATATTTCATGGTGCGAAACGAAAGCATGAAAGGTTGTAATACCCTATTGCAACGTTTAAAATTAAACTATGAGAATTTGTGGTATTTCTCTCTGGTATTTCAAAATCAAGTTTTTTGATTACATTTTAAGAAAAGTGAAAAGAATTGACATCTATCAACTTAACCAGAATTAACCAGAATTTACATGCAACATTTGATTCCCAATATCAGTTGCAGAGGCGTGGATTTGTTCGATGTGAAACATGCATCAGGTATGATTGAACTTTCCATCAAGAACAATTGAACTTTGAACCGAGACTAAGGCTGTTCGTTGGATGGTAATCAATCGTTTACCGCCATTTTTCCACATAGAGGTGAAGCCCCGTCTTAATGTATTATCAAATAAGAGATTAACAGTACAAAATTCAGTTTCCTAGCTCTTACGGCTTGGACTGTGCGTTGACCACCAGTAAGTCAGTCACAAAGTTAGTCAATCAATCAATCAGTCATATATACACATATATATATATATATATATATATATATATATATATATATATATATATATATATATCTCAAGTGATTATAAAAGTGCATAAAGCGTGCGAAACTTTCGCAATGGGTATTTGGTAGTCGAGCGCAATTGTTGTGGCTTTTTTAGCGGAACCTAATAATATTTATTTTCATATGCGGTTAGAAAAGTAAAAACCATTTGGTTACATTGCCCGGCCATCTTTTCCCCGCGCGCACTTCTCCATCCACAATTCTCTGAGTTTACCCCGCCGCAACAACCCCCCTCCCCCCCCTCCCCCTACCCTCCATCCAACATTCCCACTATCCTCGTTGTATGGCCTAACAAATTAAATTTTCATATGAATTACTGTGCTGGTCACGTAGGAAAGTGGGCATTGGAGACGGGCTAGAAGCAGGTTCATGTCCATGTCCATGTCCATGTCCACGTCGTGTCCATTGATACGTATTATGTGACTCTGACCGGGTATACATTACGGTACACCCCACTCCGCTGCCACCCACAACAGTATTTTCTCCTGCCGCTGCCTACTGGCAACTTAATTGCGTCGCCTTTAAATGCGACAAAATGGCAAAAGACATAATTAATAGACGCATTTGCTGGGCTGAGGGTGGGGCAAGGCTTGAAGTCGATGGGGAGCGGAGAGCGGCTGTTAAATTGGTCCACTCGTTTATCGATTTTTTGTCGTTTTGCTCTTGGGCAAAGCTTTCAAGAATCTACGACAGGCGGCAACGCCAATTGGCCTCTGGTCATAAAGCGTTTCAATATGCGCCAAAAATACTCGAAGTGGCGATGAGATGGGCGTGCCCTGGCGAGGAGTAAGGGTAGGCAACTGCGACGTCTATTTGCTTGTTTAAATTGTTTAAAATGTCAATTTAATTGCGCTTAATTAAATGCCAAAAATCCGTAAGGAAAACAAGCGACACTAAGAGAAAAGCTGAGGAGAGTTTCGACTGGCAATGCACGGCACGGGGTGGCGTGGTGTGCCGTTGGGTGGGTGGGGAAGTTCCATCGCAAAAAGTTTTATAATAAGCGCAATGAAAATAATTAACAATTTGTAGAAAATAACAAGCTCTCAAGTACAAGCAAATGATGTCAATGAGCCGCACAACAGGCAGCCTGGAAAAACTATGCGCTTGAGCCACAGGACAAAGGATGTCGGCGGTGTCGGCCTCCAGTTAAATGCGGTACAAGGATGCCAAGGCAAGGAGTCGGATTCCCGTTTTATTAAGCAGACTGACATTAAGATGTCACGTTTCCAATGTCCTCTTTCTGTTTGGTTTGTTTGATTTTCCTGCGGGCGGCTGCTTAGGGTAAAGTACGGAGCACGGTTGGGGGCAAAGGACAAGAGACAATCTTCAAAACTGCTTAACGGGCTGAGTCCTGCTGCCTAGTTAAGTTTGCTAAATGGCTTGCTACTGCAGGATAGTGCCAGAGGGCGGATTGTGTTGTTGCGTATGCCTGTGTATTTGTTCTATTCATTGTTGTGGACTGAGAAACGTTTAATTTAAATTATAAATCAATTCATTTGAGGCAACCTACAAATGAGTTCGGCTTCAGATGTTAAAGCAACAGTGAAGAAAGTATCGATTGATATAGAAGGAGACACAATTGCATGGAAATTAATTTTGAATGTAATTATGTAAAACATAGATTACATACATACATAGACACAATTCATAGAACTTAGTGACCAATTCCGTGTGCAGATTTTCAATTTAAACCAATTGTGAATGTTAATAACATGGCAACTTTTACTAACAGCTGTTATTAAGAGCACTTAGGATAGCTTTCTTTACGTAATGAATTAACAGCTTTATTACCACCCTATTTTAATTCCTCTAACAGTGAAAAAATTTCGTATAGCTGCTAAAAAGAATTTTAAAAAGTAATTACAGTCATTATACAGTATTCATAATATTGATGTTTACCACTGCTTGAGAATCTTAAGAACAGCTGTCCATAATGTTAAGAACAGCTGTCCAGTGTTTATATTGTCTTTGGTCTGTCCGTATGTATGAACGCAAGGATCTCAGAACCTATAAGAGCTAGAGACTGAAAATGGATGTAGGTACTCTTAGTGCCTGCGCAGATGCGCAGTTTGTTTCCGATAATCGATAACTTACTCCGTTTTCAAGCAATCGATACAAATGGATATCGATATCCTGTTTTTTTTTTTTGGCAATTTTGGTAAATAATAAGATCTAGAGTCACCAAATTTGACATATAGCTTCTTAAATAGTATATATATATATGCATTTGATGTTGAGAGAAGAGGGTTCAGGGTATCCCCTAGTCGGGAGCTCCCGACTAGAAGCTCATAACTTGTTTCATTTATTGTCTTAGCCACCTGCTTACAGTTTTTTGATGTTGTAGATTGGCCCTATCCTACAGCACTGTTGAATAGTTCATTTTCTTGCTCTTCATTTTATCTACTTTTCAGCTTTTAACAGACTCGGTTTTCTTTGGTCTACCACTTTTTGCTTAACAATAATTACATGAACTGCTTTTATTTGATATGCGAGTACTTAAAAAGCTCTCCACATCATCAAATAAAT